GTGTGTGTGTGTGTGTGTGTGTGTGTGTGTCTGTGTGTGTGTGTTCCCTTATCTCCTAAAGCTAATATTTGCAAAACTTGAATCAAGTTTTTTTTTTTTTTTTTAAGGAACCAAATCCAACTTCCTGGTCCATGTTCCCAACAGTAATATCCAGACTATATAGACGTGTCCTTCCCACAAGACTCAAAGGTTTCTCTGATCCATTTATGATATAAAATATTTATGATTCATTTATTGCCCTTGTCAACGTTGAGATAATGTTGGTAGAAAGTCGCGTAATCAGATCTGCTGTGTGTTTGTTTCAGTGGCGACGATGTTTTAATCTCTTAATGGTGTCAAAGTTTACCTAAAAGTTCTAACACCAGTATAACATGTACATCAGAGTGTAAATATACTACAAGTAAAAGTACACCATACTGACAATATTTGTATGACAGTATTTATAAAGTGTATGTAGCATTTTAATCTTGAGGAGATCATTCTTTATACATGTTGGGTGATTTCGTCCGTGACAATTCATTGTATGTTTTGTGTGTAAAGTAATCGTATATGATAAATAAATGTAGTGTCGTAAATTTAGTGTATTGGAAGTATAAAGTGACATTAAATAGATGTACTGAAGTGCAAATACCTTAGAATTGTACCTGAGTTGATGTACTTTGTTACTTAATCTGTTACTTAAGCAAAATCTGGCATATGTTGGGTTTAATTAAATATATTAAGGTGCCTTTTTCAATATGCCAGTACTGGGAAGTATTTAGGGATCAACTGATTATAGTCCAACTAGAGTCAAAGGTGAGGAAATTGTGAAAAATAAGAAATAAACGGTGAATAAAAGCAAAACTATAAATTATGAAATAAAGTGACAAAACTTATACTTCTAAAAAAAGATCCCCTCAAAGTAATGATACTCAATAAAAGCGCCATGAGACTTTACAGGTTTACACAGAGCCGGGTTAACGACCAGAAAATCCAATAAAACTCACAATAAAACATAATCATAATCCTTTACTCACAAAGAGGCCTCCTCCGATGAGCCCCCCCATGAGCCAGACCTGGAGCGAGATCTGATCATTTTTCAGTTGCTCCCCGTTGGGGAAGAACAGCAGCAGGTTGGCGATCATGCAGATGAACGCTGAAGGCAGCAGGATCAGGCCCACCAGGCGGGCACACTTCCCCGTACAACACATGGCTTTTACCTTTTTTTTATGTTTTTCTGTCCGCTTCCTCTCTTTTTCTACTCTCACTTCAAGTATTTTTTTTCCTCCCAAAGTCAGAGGGAAAGCGGGCGAAACTAATACAGGAGGCGAGTGAGAAGCTCCCCAATGTCACACCGTGAAAGTCAAACACAGCCAGTGAGAGTTATAACAGGAAGGAGAGAGGGAACAAAGGCCAAGTATTGGTGTGGCATCGCTGCAATCTGATTTCAGCCCTGTGTATCTTCTCATGAGTCTCAGGAAGAACAAAAAATTTAAATGCAAGCAAGATTTTTAGCTTTAAGAGTCCTTGAAACAGATAAAGAACAAATTACATGAACTCAGGTACAATTTTACGGTATTTGCAATAAGAAATGTCCCATTTTATATTCATATTTTCTACTTCCTACTACATTTATTTGTCAGATATAGTTACATTACATACAAAACATATGATGAATTGTTAAGGCTGAGGTCTACAAATGTTAAGGTGAAACGCAGGCCAAACATTATACCTAAACAAACTAAAGAGCACAGGAAGGAGAGGGGTACCTGTGTGTGTTCAGTGGCTCGACGCTCTTTGGTACCTGCTTGTGACGGTATCAGTCTGTTTGTTCTATTTATGGCCTCCAGCAAACAAGAGAGCCGACTTGGCCTGCAATAAAAGCCATGCCAACCAGAGACACAACATCCGACCAACTGGTACAGTATGAGGTTTAAATGAATAAGCGTGTGTGTATATGGTTAATTTAAACATCACAGATATGAGCACATAAAAGCTAAAATTAATGTTTTCGATGTCCGCTCCTTTGGAGAATTTAGAAGCCAGTTCTTCAAGTTATTTTGTTTTGTTTTGTGTTATTTATTGTATTTTTAAAATTGTTTTTTTAATGCTTCACACAGCAGCAACACACAGGGTTATTTACAGGCACACTACTCAACCAAGACTTGATTACCAACCGAGCAAAGTATAGGGCCTCAAACTCTCAGGGGCCCTAAAGGCTTAAGACTTGCATTTATCTGATCCTCTGCACCACTGAAGTATAACATAAAAGGATAAGGGCCATGATTACCCATCTTTAGCCCTTTCAATCATGTTTTAATACCTTTATTATTTCAGGTATATGCTGCTTACATGGTGCATATTCCAAAAGAAATGTATTTAATCAAGTCACTACAATCAAACTGGGCAGGTATCTTCCAGCAGAGCGGCACTGAAATAAAGTACATTGAGGGTTTTCACTGTTTTCTAAGAGAGTACGGAGGAGTTGCATTGGGCCTCTTAACAATCTGATTCTCTACACATTTGATCAGCTTTATAAATGTTCTCAGCTTCAGATCATCAGTCAGTAAATAAAGAATCAATAATAAAGGAATAATTTTCACTTTCGTAACATGACATGCCTCATGTGTACTAACAGGTTCGTCCTGTTCAGTGCTGACCATAGTATGAAAGCACCAGCTTATTCCTGTAAGTGCGTAGTGCACCAGTTGAGCCATTTGACGAAGCGTTCAGGGAGAGAAAGCCTCTTCACCTGCAATGGCAGGCAAGTGTGTTCTTGTATAATTGCATCCATTTAATATGCTCTGGCTGTAAATGCATTCTGTGTCAGGTATGCCAGGTGTCTGTGGTACATTTTAGCAACGCGTACTGTCACTTTAAGAATAAGCTGGCCTCTTTAAATGAGGGGATTTCAAAATGTTTAATAAGGTGTATTTCATTCAAGAATTGGTTATCTTCTGAGCAATATTGTGTAAATGCTTTGATTAAAAAAAATCAAAAAAAAAAGCATCAGATGGTGTGATATTTTCAGCAGAAACTGTCACCCCCATTTTCACTTTTGGATTGAGTATGAAAACAATAAAAGATAATAATAATGACAAAGTTAATATTGCATTTATAAGAGTGATGGTATTTGGTACCTGCAATATGATCAACGGGACAACCTAGACAAGAAATTGGTGATGTGTAGAATCTGAGAAATAATATTTGCTAAAGTGCATAACATTGTTTTTACTTTCCCTTTACTTTCATATCATGTAACAACATCAGGTGTACAAACTGTCGGAGCATAATACCAGTGTCTATGTTTGCTCTTTAGCTCCATCTACAGACCGCCCAGTGACAATAACTGTGGGTGCCATATTAAAGCTTCAAGTGAAACCCCCACCATCCAGACCCCCTCGGCTGTCAGGTGAGTGTAATAATAAGATGTATTTATTTACACCCTGTAGCCCTGCATTCAATCCTATCTGTGACTCCATCATATGATCACGTTGTATCATATTCATAGTTTTAAAACATTTTAAATCAAGGTCCAATTAGATTTTTGGATTTGATTATTTTTGTAAAAACTAAAAATATGTAACTTTCTGAAAAAAACAAAAAACTTCTGTGGCCTTGAATGTGTTTTGAGTCAGTCTGGGGTTATAATATAAATAGAAATAATAACAATAAAAAGAAAAACAACAATATAATAACAATGAAACATAATAATTATTATTATTATATGTGTGTATTTATTTATAACAATGACCTTCAATTGTATATAACTTTTCAAAACAAAGTGGTTCACAGAAATTTTAAAAAAAAGCTTAGATGCAAAAATATGCAATTAACATGACAATTTGAATCTTCTTTTTTTTATTATCTTACCCTAGTTCAAGTCACAGTACTAACGGCTGTCGTAATTCTGGCACGCGTCATCTTTGGTCAGTATCCTCTTTCTTCTTCATGGCGTTTCACTGTGTCGTCCTTCTGTAACCACACATTGCTCTCGCCACCATCTGTCCGCAGGTGTTGTGTATTTGAAGGACTGCCCCCAGCAACCTAACATTCCCAACTACCTGTTAGGGTTGGCTCTGATATCGCTGCTGATGATACCTTTTGTCACCCTCCCCTGTGAGAGCGATGCAGCTCAGCCACAAGAGCTTCCCAGAGGCTTCAAAGCCTGTCTGCTCTGTTCGTTAATCCTGTCTCTGATGAAATATATCACAGATCCATATGATTTCATAATACAGAATGTTTTCTCCCAAAAAGAATAACGGATTACAACTTAATGTGTTCGTCCCACGCCCTTCATAGGTGACGTGTGGGTCTTCTCTGTCTATCAGCCCAACTATGACCCTGCAGCTGCCGATGGTCTGTACTGTAACAAGACCCTGTACATATTTGCTTTCTGGAATGCAGTGTGGGAGACCTTCGCGATTTCGGTCTACCTGGCCAGATGCTGCAAAACACTGATGTGTTATGTGATGATGAGTCCTGTGCCAACAAGCAGAGACTTTGATGGGAATGTATGAGGCACGGATGGAAGGATGGAGCAAAGGTTCATTATACATAAAAACTAAAATATTTTGCTGTGCACAATGTATGGGACTTTACATTGATATTATTATAATTTGTACAGTGGGGGAATAAGTACGAGAGAGTGTGTGTTTTTATGTATTGCTAAAACAATTATTTTCATTATCAAATATTTTGGCAATTATTTTCTTGTTATTTGTTTGATATATACACAATAAAAATAATGCCCAGCACAATTTCCAACAGGCAGAGATTATTTTATCAAACTGCTTGTTTTGTCCGATCAACTTGGTTTAATATCACAAAAGAAAAGCATAAAACTTAACATTAAGAAGCTGGAATAAAGAGATTAGATCAATTTTGGCTTTAAAGTGAATGAATCAATACCATTTAGTTACCAATTAGGCATATTCTTCTGTCAATCAATAGATTAATCAATTCATTTCAGCAATAGTTTTTAGTTTCCCTCTAAACTTGGTTTTCTTATTATTCTTTGTCATTATGTGTTTTTCTTTTTTTATACTCTATTTTCATCAAATTATAGTCATTACGTTTGTCTTATTTGTTGATTTTAATATTTGTTTTTGCAGGAATGTCAGTTTTAAATAAAGGTTTATTGATTTTGTTGAAGCTCACTTATTTGAACTTTGGTGCATCGTAACCGTTAGTTCGATCATTCCTTTTTTTCTCGCGAGAAAGTCTGACAAAAGTCGTGTCACACATGGGTCACGTCTATGGGTACATCCCAAGTCTCTTAATTGCATCCCCGTTTCCCTCACTTGCGTCCTTTCCTTGTGTCTTAGTCCCTCCCACCAGGGATGCATGGAGGAAACCATGCAAGGAGAGAGGAACGAGGAAATATGTTTTAAGAGACATGAGACGTCCTTTCCTCAGTTGCGTCACGTGAAGCGACGTCAGTTTCTGATGACGGAGGATCAGCTGATCACAGCTGGATCAGCTGACAGTCGGCTTTAACAGCTGGAGAGACTTTTGAGAAGTTTGTGTCTGTTCACATGATCACTGTACTTAATAATAGCAACTAATAATACTAATAACTAATAAAGACACACTGATCACCACTGTAGAGGTGTTTCTCTGTTAACAAACTGTCCTGTGTTCTGTTTATAAGCACAGGATCCATTTCTACCGGCGGAATGCGATCGTCATATTTATGAATTATTTGCGTCTGTAAGTTTTGAAATTCAGATTATGACGTCGATATTAAATAACCCAGAATATGATTATTGTTTCTCTTAAATGATAAAACTCATCAAACCCGACAATCAGGAATGAACAGCCTCACATGACTGAATGAAATGATGATAAATGATGATTACATCATTTATCCCTCCTCCCTCCTCCATCCTCGATCCTCAGAGCTAAATAAGAGCTTTGGGACGGCCGTCAATATGGCGGCGCAGAACAACTTCCGGTTCAAGCGAGGATCGAGGAGCGAGGAAATGAGAATTAAGAGACTTGGGATGTACCCTATGACAGTCCCGTCTATGGTCCAGTCGACAAACCGATCGATGACGCTCCGTTCCACCAGCCAATGACGTGGAGGTAAACAAAGCGCAGGCAGCGGTTCTTGCTCCCTGTCGACAAAACCTGGTAGGTTCAATCAAATTAGATTTAAAATCATTAACGGAACTGGCTTTTTTTCCCCACCTGTAAAAAGGTGACTTAACTTTAGTCCAGCACTGCCGACCACAAACTGCGAACACTCTTCATCTGCAATGACAGGCAAGTATTCAACAAAGCTTGCCGTTTACACTTAAAACATTATTCGGCTCATCTTAAATGCAAACTCGCATGTTTTGTTGAATCCCGGTGGTCTCTGTTGTGCTCAGATAAAGTCAACGAGCTCGTGTCAAAGTGTCTGCAGGCCCGGGACATGGCATACTGTCCGTACAGCCGGTTCCCCGTCGGTGCCGCCATATTGACAGCAGATGGCGCTATAATCACAGGTAACAAACCCTACAGGTGTCTTCTCTCCTCTTAAGAGTGCTCCCATTTAAAACTAACCGGAAGTCCAGTGGTGGAAAAGAGACTATGCACATTTACTCAAATACTGTTTTAAATACAATGTTTACTTCTAGTTAATTGAATATTGTATTTTTAAAATTGTGGTTTTGTTACAATGCATTTGTTCTTGTACTTCTGCTCCTTATCTTATCTCACAGTATCCTACAACTCTGAGGTGAATTGCAATGCATTGTCATTCAGTAAATTAAATTAACCCAACGCTTATGGTCTTCAGTATTTGTGTGTTTTTTTCAGGCTGTAATGTGGAGAATGCCTCCTACGGTCTGACAGTGTGTGCTGAGCGGACGGCCGTCCAGCGGGCCGTGGTGGAAGGACACAGACAGTTCACTGCCATTGCTGTGACATGGTGAGACTGCAGAAATAGGGCTTAAGCTTTATTTATAGCTTTATAAGCTTTTGCAGTTATGCCTTGTCAAATAATGCAAATAAACGGCTTCCACACCTTCAGGATGTAGTTTTCGTTCAGATATCTTACTAAGTTTGGGTTAGAGTAAGGCAGTCTGTGTGGTACTGTGATGGAAGTATTCTAGAAGTGCTACTGGACAGAACCTCCTTTAACAGGTCATCTGATACTGCAACATATACAGCACATGTTCTGATGCATTCATCCTCTCCTCTCTTCTATGCAGTGATATCAAAGACCAATTCGTTGGGCCGTGTGGAGCATGTCGACAGGTTCTCATGGAGGTACGGCATCTCTTTCATGACCAGCACAGACGACCAGGAAATGATACACTGCAAAACCTTTCAGCTTAAACCTTTGTTTCTTTTTTATAAATTAAAGATAAAAATGCGGTTAGAGTGAGAATATTTCTTCAATTCAGATCAGCTTGTTTCTAGAGGTTTTTTTAAACAAATGTCAACATCTTTAAAATCTCTCTCAATCTCTCTCTCTCTCTCTCTCTCTCTCTCTCTCTCTCTCTCTCTCTCTTCCACCAGTTTGGATCAGACTGGATCGTATACTTGACCAAGCCGGACGGATCTTATAAAGAAACCAGCCTCAGTGAACTGTTGCCTCTTGCCTTCTCCCCGGCCCACCTCGCAAAGAACTGATGAAACATCAGCTTCCTCTTTAGACATCACTTTTTTTCTAGCTGCAGTGTCTCTTTAATTATGTTATAGCAACACTGCAAATTAGGAAAACAATAAAACACATTTTTTGCCCTCAACACGTGTGATTATTTATTTATCTATTTGTCATGCATTAATTATTATTCATGTATTAGTATTACTATTAATTAGTAGTAGTATTGTTGTTATTATTATTATGATAACGGAGGCTTTACTAGAGAGATCTGTAGGTGACGTCGATCAGCTATGTCACGTGATAAAATGGGCGGAGCTGGTATCTGTTTCCGAAACATGGAGGCGGTTGTGAGCGATGTGGTAGCTCCAGAAGACCTTTTGGTAAGTTTACAAACTGTTAAACCACCGTATTTAATTAAACATACTTCTTAAACTATGTGCGACACGTAAGCGATGTCACCTCAACGTATATATTTTCGGTAAATGCTGAAACTTGCCTTTAAAAGCGACGTGTCGGGAGATAGTTTGACGCGTCACGTAGCTGGCTAATGCTAACTATCGTGTTTATGATCAATAACTGGTGTCACGGTGACATCGTAATTTCTGCTTTTAGATTTAAATGACTCATGCTAGTAATAGTTTGGGAATGTGGTGTACTTATTTGACCTTAAATCCAACAGCTGGAGGGTTAACTAGAATTTTCTAGTCAGAAAACAACACACAACGAGTGCTAACTCTAAACAAACACAATAAATGACACTTTAGTTGAATGTGACACGAGTCAAATGATGTCGGTCGCTTCATCTCTGCTTTGTTTTGCCAGAAATTTGAGAAGAAGTACAACAATGAGCTGGTGAAGGGAGCCGTCACCAAAGAAACAAAGTTTGAGTATGCTTGGTGTCTGATCAGGAGTAAATACACAGAGGATATCAAGAAGGGGATTGTGCTCTTGGAAGGTAAGTTAGTGCAACATATGCTTTTCTTATTATATTCTAAGCTACATGTAATGTAATGTAAGACTAATAGTGGGGTTTTGGGGCATATATATATTGGAAAGTTTAAGAAATACAAAATACTGGAAAAATATCCTTTTTAATTGTGGTTCTTAATTAATTCAGATATGTACTTTGGTCTTTATTGGACAAAAAAAGTAGATGACAATCAAATGAAATATGTTAAATAAAAAAACATGGTATCTAAACATAATAATCAATTACATAAAGTGTCTATATATGTTAATCTGGGGATAAAGAAAAACTTAAAATATAACAATGTACTTTGTCTTTTTGTTTGTCATAATGGTTAATGTATCTGTGTATTTAAACTAGTAAAATATATAATAAAGTTTGGGAAGGACTTACCCAATCTTGCCTCATTTATGTGTAATTTACCAGCTACAAGTTTAAGATTTGAAGTGTTTTATTATTACATTTGAATGTATTAATAATGTCTTTAAGTATAATTGTTAAAGAATGTATGTGTATATACAGTACCAGGTAAATATCAGACAAAGTGAGGATGCTGTAACATTTTAGTTTTTCAAAATGTAACGGTTAAAATCAATTGGTTTGTTTTTTTTGTTCTAGAACTTGTTCAGACGGCATCAAAAGACGACTCCCGGGACTTCCTGTTCTACCTCGCAGTGGCCAACTACAGACTCAAAGTTAGTGCCGCTCCCAATGTCGCAGCAACGTTGGGCGTTAAGTTTGATGGCAACCCTCACATTTGATTACGTGATTTTTTTTTTTTTAAATGTACACATATCTGACTTTCTTTCTATTTCCTGTCTCCTGTTCTTCTTCCAGGAATATGAGAAAGCCCTGAAGTACATTCGAACTCTTCTCAAGAACGAGCCGGGGAACAAGCAGGCTCAGGAGCTGGAGAAACTCATCGTCAAGGCTTTGAAGAAAGGTACGAGCCGATCTTCATCGTTGGTTATGTCCCCCTGTTGTTTGTGTGTTTGACCACAATGCTGACATTCACTTGTTGACCTCTAGATGGCTTGGTGGGCATGGCCATCGTCGGGGGAATCGGGCTGGGCGTGGCCGGTTTGGCGGGCCTCATCGGCTTGGCTGTGTCAAAGGGAGCTGCTAAATCCTAACCTGGACATGGGGCGAGATGTCTTCACTGCTGGGCTGCCTCACCGACTCTTCACCTGCATAAATACAAAAATAAAGTGTGTGGAGAGAGCTTGATGGCTGTAACATTTTGAAGTAGAGTATGCGCCATAACATATATTAAAGGGTTTGAATAATTCCAGTGAATAACCATTTTTTAACAGGGTTGAGATTCACCATACATATGACATTACTAAGCTGTCTCTTCACCCACCATAGCATTGCACTTTCTCACTATTTGTGTAAATAAATTAGGATAGTCAAATGCAGCTGAGTTTTATGTGTTCTTTCTATTTAGTTTGCAGCCTGAACGTCCCACGTTTAAAGAATATCTTTCTGAAAGTGCAGTTGTGGTTCTGTAACTGTCTGTTTAATTATTTTTTGACAAATAATTGGTAAAGAAAGTGTTGTTGGTGGAAGTGTAGCTTGTGAAACCAAAAGCAACAGCAACGATTTGTTTGCTGCAGAGGTAGCGTGCCATGATGCTGGTAGAAGAGTGTAAATGGAGCTGCTGCTGCTGAAGGCAACGAGAGGTTTGCATTTATTCTTGACATGATGATTCTCCTTTTTTCTTTTTTTTTTTTTTTTTTTGTTCTGAATACTACTTCAAGGGAGGCAACACACTTAATAGAAATTCATGTTTTGCCATTTAAATTGCATTTACCTGTCTTACATTTAATGCATTGTGTTTGACATCTTGTTAAATAAAAAGATTTTGAACTGAGAGAAGATTTTTTTTGTCGTCAGGAAATTGTCGAGCTGAGTATCGTACTCACTGGTATGTATCTCCTGTTGCTAAATGTAATACTCCAAAAGCATCAAACAAACATCTCTAAATAACATAAAAAGTGACACATTTACATTGCATTACATTTTACATTGTCCAAATAAAAATAGAATAATTGTAAGGAAAAAAGCAGCAAATCTTCACATTTAAGAAGCTAAAAATATGACGAATTATCAAAATAGTCACCATGTTTAATTAATTATACAACTTTTCATATGATCTTGATTAGTTTAATCTATAACAAATTATATTTTACAAGCTCTCTTTTATGAGTGCTTTATGTTTTTAACTTGTGAAAGACGAAACTTTTTCCATTGATGTCGACATACATCTAATCAATATATCAGTCATTTTAAGAAGAATATTTTGTTGACAGAGCAAAGTCCAATTAACTTCTTATCTTATCATTTATTGACTATTCATTTTACAATGATGTTTTGGTGGCCACTGTAAAAGAGTGCATTGTGATCACCGAGTGTCTGAGTCTGTAGCACCAGGATTGGGCCGAGCCTTGTTCACTCGCTGTCGATCATCCTCACATCTTGACCCACAGATAGATTCAAGTCTCCGACACTATGTTTTACAACGGGAAGTCGTATGGAGGCTATCAGTTGTGTGTGTTATCAGCCTCGTGGGGTGTTACTCATTAACCCATCTGACAGGACCGAAACTCCCCAGGGACAGATGAGGGAAAACAATAATCTTCTTTGGTGTGAAAGAGGTGATCGAGTGGGTAAACCAAAAGAGAAAAGGGAGGGTAAAGGTCCCCAAAAAATGAATCTAATATCTAAACAGAGGAGCAGAAAAGAAACCTAAACCCTAACCAAAACTGGAGTGGTCGTGTGGTCGTCCGACTCATCCCATGTGCAGCTTTAACGTCAATGATTCATCAAAGCCAGTGTAATTCAGATCAGCTTCAGTGAGTTTCAGGTACGAGGGCCAATGTTCATTGAGTGTGCGCTGGTTTAAACACATGGCTGAGAGACATTAATGTGTAATCACCTTGAAGAAATAGAATACATCAGGGAACGCGATGTATCGAGCTACGCCCTGTTTGTTTGTATGTCATCACACAGGAATATGAAGTTACTGTATAATCCAGTAGAACAGTGCTTTATTGTCTGTCACTTTATATTACTGCAGGAAGAGACGGAGGAAGAGACACGAGTTTTGTCTTAACTTTATGTGTAGTTAATGTGTAAGATTTGTTCACGGCTTTGATTATTTCCTTTTTTGCATTCTTAGATTTTATTTGCAGAGCAGACCAGCTGCAGAAAAAGACGTTGAAACACTGACAGTGGAAAAGGAAAAACATTTTGTGGCCTTTTGGGAGGGCAAAAAAAAATCACTGAAAGTGTCCAAATTCTTTCAGAGATGCTAGCACTCAACTCTGTCTCCTAAAAATTACATTCCCATACAAAGACATCGCATTGCAAAATAAGTTTTGAGTGCAACATATGTAAATGTCCCCGCTGCGGGACTAACAAAGGATTATCTTATCTTATCTTATCTTATCTTAAAATTGAGTCGAGAGTGCAGTTTAGTTGTATGGTGACGTACATTTGTACGTCACCATACAACTGAACTGCAGGATACAGGGTTGCTCAGTCGGTCGGCCCAGCGCTTTGGTCCAGATTGAAATATCTTTGCAACTATTAGGTGGATTAGCACAAAACTATGTACGGGCATTCATGATTCCCAGAGGATGAACCCTAATAACTTTGTGATCAACATTTTAATAAGTACTGCTTTTTACTAATTAGATCTCCATCATTCTCACTTTGTACCTAGTGCTAATTAGCAAATGTTAGCATGCTAACACACTGAACTAGTATGGGGAACCTGGCAAACGTAGTTTTGTTAGGTATCATTTATCAAGAGTTCAACACTCATAAACTCTAATTTGATTGACAGTTACCTTGCAACTAAAGCAACAACCCACCAACTGTCATCATATTTTTATTCAAATATTGCTGCATTCTGATTGGTGCAAAGAAGTGTATGACATCACCTTTTTTTCCAAATGAGGTCTGCCTACTTCAAACCAGTGAGAAGAACAAAAACACATAAATCTCTCATATGAGACAACTGAAACTGTTTAATCTGGCAGAAACTCGTGTGTTTATGTTGGACCTCATTGCTTTTAGTAATAAACCTATTTATGAAATATGTTGTATGGCCATTTCAGGGCCAAGCATCTTTTAACATGTGTATCTTAAAACATGTTTGTTAAAATTGAAAATCAAATATAAAATGTATCGCAATAGCTGTAAAATAATAAAATCAACCTATCTGCACTAAGAGTTGTGAGTTTTTGATATATGCCTGGACCACAAGAAGGTTTGTAAATAAACCAGCAGACAGATATATTTTTCACTAAGTTTTTCTATTCTGTTCAGTCATCCCAGGACAAGTTATTCCTGGAAAGCACATGGTAAAATGATGGGCTTCAGGAAACATATAAACTTTTGTTTTCTTAGACTAAACCGCTGTGACATTCACATTTAATAACACAAACTCATCAGCAACCGACCGCTGCGGCCAAGTAGGCTGTAAAAACTGGCTTTGCAAACAGCTCGGCCATAAAATGAGACATTTATGGCGGGGCAGGATCCAGTTTTCAGAGGAGCTCAGGAGGAGATGAAGTTGATGAAATGGTCAGTGAATTTAGGTTTAGCTTCGGTTGGAGTTTCTGCCTTTGTATTTCAATTTACAAGATGGACTTTGGGGTTTAATTAACAAAGCACAAGAACAAATAGTTAATAAATATAAAAAACAATCCAAGAATATGAGACTTGAATCATCTCACTTGGTAACATCTCAACAAGACATTTTGACATACAAGCACAGTTGTATTTACAAAAATGAATCGATGGCTGAATTCCATTTAGCTTCTTCCGTTTCAGGGTCCTGGTGTTGTGTATAAAACATGTTAAATATAGATTTTGGTTGAAATCTACAACCATTTCTGTGGCACTGCAATTGATTTACAAACTTTCCTTTGCGAATGCTTCGCCTCCCGTTTCCCTTCATAAAACAGATGAGGTCAGGTTTATGGTTGGTGCACTCACTGTGCTTCTATTTCTGGAGCTTCATTCTTGACCTTTACACAAACGAGTTTGCTGGTTTACAAATCTCCCCACCTCTATACACTTTGGGGGCTTTGTCTGAATCGCTGGTTAACATTTATCTTAATTTGACAACACTGACCCAGCAGCTATCAGGAGGATTATTAATGAAGACGTACAAACACATAAACTACAGGGTGAAATCAGTAACTTTAGACCTTTGTGACTTTTGGTCTCAAGTAAGACTAATTACATGTTGATACCTTTCCAATTGTTACAAAATCTTGGGTGTGGTGCTCAGTGAGTGTTACTTTGAGTCTTATGGCCTTGACATTTCTTAACCACTTCATTACTTTACAACCACATATTTACAATAATGTTTCTATCTGTAATGTTCCTATATTTTATTAGGACCATTGGCTCCATGACACTAACTAGCATGCTGTTTGCAAATTACTTCATCAGCTAACGTTGTGGAGCAACCAAAGGCAGATCAATGCAGTGTCGCTAAATTACCTTATAGCTTAGCATACAGTTAGCTAGTTGTCTGCGTCTTCCTTGCATCACTCTTGGCTGACAGAAAACAATCATTACACCTTTACTTTGTACCGTTACATTGTTTATTGTTAGCTAAAATCAACACAGTTTGTATTAAGTTAGTGTTGTGGATCACGTTAGCTGGTGCTCGTGATGTTAGCTGATGAAGTAATTTGTAAACGTCAAGCTTGAAACTGTTGGCGCTGTAGAGAGGCAAGGCACCTCGGGACACCACATTAACGTCAAAATCCTTTGGATTTGCCCGTGAAAAACGCGGGCAAATCCCGCGTTCGCGTTTTTGCCTGCGAAAAACGTCCCAAATCGTTTTGGGACAGTGGAAATCTGTCCACAGGCTGTTATTAGCAACTGAGAAAATTGGCCTCAGTTTTTAAGTTATGTTACAATCTGCTCACAGATTGAATGCGATTAATACTGTTGATGTGGAAACAGGGTAAATCTTTACTGAGATGGATAGAAGAATAACTCGGTGAGCCCCAGTTGTCCTTACTTGAATAGATATATGTTTGTTATGACGCAAATGTGTTCGAAGAAGAATTCCAGTAGTTGCCTTCAGGCAGACGGTTCACAATGCCAATCTGCAGGCTAAATCGGTACAAAAATGTATTTATTACATCCTCCATCAAATTGTTAAATAGCAACAAGTAGTATTATCTGATAAGATTTTATTGGGGACTAATATATGGTGTATTGTGTGATGCAGCGGCTTGGAGCCCAAGAGAAATTTCCCTGCGGGACAGTAAAGTATATCTTATCTTAAGATCTTGGTGCAACATGTATAGAGACAGTCATTCCAAAAACTTAAAGTAACAGGACATTCAATCCATCTCATACACGTCATACAGAATCACTTATTATCACACTACCTCGGCGGAATCAAAACAACGTTGTGTGTGTAATCCTTGGTTCGGACTGTTCGAGTCAAGAACATCTACAAAGTCCTCGTCTTATCTTAACCTTCACACACCCAGAGCCTCCTCACACAAGTGTGAAGTACTCTGAGGACTTTCAAAAACACTAAATAGATGACAAAGAACAACTAATGCATTTCTGATGCCATTCAGGTGTCTACACACTTTTATTTTTAAAAAGTAGTGTGTTTAATGGAGCTTCGGTATGAAACTTGGGGTGTAATGATGCAATATTTTTGTGAAAGATCCAGCACAAAAAAAATTTTTTGTAATTTGCTTGTAATGTTCAGTTTTTCATCAAAGAAAACAACGTGGTGGAGCGTGTCAAATAAACATGAACAGTGCAGCGTCATTAACACTGACTGATGACCATTGGACCTTGAGAGTGAGCCGATCAACACCTGCTCAGTTTCAGGGGTGTAAAATATGAAAGAGAGAGAGAGAGAGTGAGAGAGAGTGTGTGTGTGTGTGTGTGTGTGTGTGTGTGTGTGTGTGTGTGAGGGGAGGGGAGAAGGGAGGAGAGAAAGTCATATAAATCATTATACATATCTGTTGAGCTGGACACATCTCACAGTGGCAGAACAGACACACCGCTCTCTCGCACCCAAAATCAGATGTTTGGTTTTTTATAACAAGTTTTATTAAATTTCAAAAACTGAGACCTGGATATACTTTTGTTTGACTGCTGGGCCGAGTTGGGGTCATGGATCCGATTGTGGAAGTAGTGGCTTTGGTGCTGGGGTTCATTGCCTGGGTGATGGTGGGGGTCACCCTGCCGCACCGTTACTGGAGGACCTCCACCGTCGACGGGAACGTCATCACCACCTCCACCATCTACGAAAACTTGTGGATGTCTTGTGCGACAGACTCGACCGGGGTGCATAACTGCAGGGAGTTTCCTTCGCTGCTTGCTTTGAGTGGTACGGTGACAAAGAAAATTGCAATAAATAATTATAATTGTAGAATTTAGTACTTTTTTTAAATTCTTGATCCACCAAACATCCATAGATCATTGTAACATAAAAAAAGAAGATAAATAGTGGAAATAAGTTATATTACATGATGTTGCTTGTCAGAAAAAACACCCTGAACTTGTTCTCTTGAAGTTTTCACAACAGTTCTTTGCTCATACAAACTGGTCATAATCTCATGACCCTTTTTCAAGGCAGATGACAAGAAAAAAGTAGTAAAATCAACTTGTGTTTTTTTAAAAATTTATTTCCAAACTGTGTTCAGGTTACATCCAAGCGTCTCGAGCCTTGATGATCACATCGGTCGTGTTGGGCACGCTTGGCCTGATGGCGGCCCTGATAGGAGTGCAGTGTTCAAAGGCAGGAGGGGAAAACTATGTTCTCAAAGGGAGGATTGCTGGCGCTGCTGGAGTCCTTTTCATAATTCAAGGTAACAAAGATAAGAAAAAAAATATCTGACCAGTCTGACCTTCCAATTCATACCCTATAAATAGATAAGGGAACTTTTCCACAATGCTAATAAATGATAGTCATGTTTTATAGCACATTCAAATCAACCATCCATAAATGTGCTCCTGGTTACCTGAAGACTTTGGACATTTAGTGTAGCTTCCCCGCTGCTCTGCTAATTATTAAAGAATATAATTTTTCTATCAAAAGGTGTGTGCACAATGGTCGCAATTTCCTGGTATGCCTTCAACATCACTCAGGATTTCTTTGACCCCTTCTATCCCGGGATAAGGTGAGGTGGTGGTGGTGGAGAGGGCCGGTTGAAAGGCCTTTACATGAGGCTCACGTGGGCTGACTGACTCTCTGCTGTGTGTTGCAGGTATGAAATAGGAGAAGCACTCTACATCGGCTGGTGCTCCGCTGTGCTCGCCATCGCTGGAGGAGCCTGTCTCACCTGCTCCTGCAAAATGGGCACAGAGGAAAAATAGTGAGTTCAATACTTGATATAATAATCATTAATATGTTGATGGTGTTAATTTATTGATTGTGACAGTGTATGCATTGCTTTACAACCATTTGCATAGCTCATGTAGTTCCTCTATACACTAGATGTGAAAGTGAGAACGTTACTGTTAAATGTTAGGGAGTGAAATGAAGAAAATAAGTCTCTTCTCAGATAGATAGTTGCCTTTAAAAATCCACATAAATAATTTCATAAATATATGTACCCATACTGTTTAGGAAATTAAATTGATTCTTTCTATTTATTTGTATGTCAGCTCATCATTTATTTTGCAAAATCTTTACTAACATACATGAACATATTGAACACGTGTGATGTTTGTGGAAAATTGAAAATCGTTTAGGAAGAAATTCATGGCACTCTGGCACCTTGTTGTGGCAGAACTTTATTAATTCACCTGTGGGATGTAATAGCAGCTCCTAATAGACATGACAAAGGGCTGCGCTGAGTGGTGGGAGTGTTTGGAGTGAGAAAGGCCTGATTAGGCCGCAAACTAAAGCCTTTATGTGAAAGATTTGAAAATTTGAGTTTTGCCGCCCCCCAATGGTTGGATAAACAAACACACTGGTGCAAGTACACAGTGGTGAGACAAATGGGCAGAAAACATGATAATTGAATACATTTTCAGCATCGCCCTCATGATTTTGTTGCTATAATAGGCCTTTTTCAACGACATGTCACAAATAGGAAAAGCCCAAGGTGTAAATAATAAAATGAGTGATGGCTTAACTCCATTTAGCTACTTTAGTTTCAGGGTCCAGGTATAGTGCATGCTGCCTCATCATCAGTGACTCATGTTTTTGTTTAACCATCTTTTGCAGCCCGTTGCCTCTTCAAAGCAGGGGGACTGTGTACTCCGGAGCAGCACCGACCAGAAGCCAGGCTGCCAGCACCTACGGCCGGAATGCTTATGTTTGAATATGAAAACAGAACTTTGTCACCAAAAAAAAAAAACAGAAGACAGAAATCTCATCTTTTGCAAAAATCCTGGAGTCAAATCTTTTCATCGACTCAGTTTTTGTTGATGCATCTAACATATCCTGGTGTTCAGCTTTTACACTTTTTGACATGTGGAAAAGCTAAAGGTCTCCGTCATGAAGTAACATATCACCACTGAACTGTACATAATCACATTATATCAAGTGTGTACTCTGTAGAAATGATAGCATTGAAATGATAGAATTGAAGTTGTGAAAGTTGTAAAAAGCAAAGCTTCTTATCGCCACACAGACGTACCATATGCTTGCAATGATTCTATTTATGTTTCACACAAATGCATTTACATACCGTCACTTATTTCCAAAGGAAGCCAATCATTTGATGATCTGCATACACACTTCTAGACATTTATGAAGGGGAAGGTCAAAACTGTGATGATCCAGATATTTGTGTGTTGTTTTGTACAGTTTTATAGATAGTACCTGTGAAAGAGTGTGAGGACAAGTTATCGTTATTTTGTTTTTGATTTTTTTACGATAGCGCACAATAAAACGTGTTGTGCTAAACATTTCTGTTTGACTTTGTATTTCCGTGGTTAATAAAGTTATGATTGTATTCTTTTTTTTAAACAAACAATATCAAACTTAATTATTATATTATATAATTATCATAAATATTGCACATAAAGGTACATTTTAAATATAAATAATAAGCAATTTAACCCAAATTATGGATAAATTATAAATGATATGCACCAGCATATTCTTTAGACATTCAGAGATCACATCATTATATTCATTCAATAATTGATTTTTACAATTACAACTGGCTGTAAAAAAAGTTTTGTCTATATGCATGTATAAAATACATTTAATTCTGCTTCTCAATTAAGATATATTGTGTCATATATATGAGGAAATGTCCCATAGCTATAAGAGATATAGTCATATATATATTAGTCATAATGAGATATTTAGCAATATTATATTGGGGCCAAGTCCCTCTGGGAATTTGGGGGATGAATGACATAAATATGGGTTTATATTCTACAGTCACAGGCATATTAGACACGTTTTTTAAGGCAGATTCTTAAGAAAATTTAATACTGACTATAACTTAAATGGCATTTTTTATGCAGCAATAGGCCTCCATATCAGAGCCACATTGAGTGAGTTTACTTTCGATTTCTTGCTTCTACGTGATCCCTATTTATTCACACTAAACCAATACTTGGTCCCATGCAGGGATCCGCGTTAAAATAGTCTCTCCAATGAGAGCGGCCCACGTTTCCAGACGAACCCGGATGTGCGACATGTGGACCAACCACGGGAGTGCGGGGCAAGAAAGGGAGGGGACGACGATACCAGGGGGCAGAACAGGGTTCGTGTACAAAGCGGACTGGCTGTCAGCTGTTCTCCATCATCATGTTACTTGTTTTGAGTTCATGTTAAAGTCAGTTGAGTCGCTTTCAAGGCTGTCAACTGCTGTTAAACCGTTAATATAGATAAGGGGGGAACCTTTTAAGCGGCGTACCTGTATTTCTACACGGAATTCTATCACACCGGGACCGTAAATACACCGTCGTAGCTGTTCCTGCGGCCCGGGTAGAGAGAAGAGAGGGAAAATATGAAGGTTTAATAGAAAACATCACCGTGTCAATGACACGAACCGGTAATTGCACTCGACGTGAAACCAGAGCCGTTAAGTTCGCTGGTTCCGGTGTGAAAGTGTGACTAAGAATCGGGAGATGGAGTCGTGTCGGCGGACCGGACTCAGCGGGGTCCTGTGCTCCCTGTCACTGCTGTGTGTCATCCTGGACATCCAGCTGGACGGTAAGCGCTGTCTGTACAGCCACAAACTAGTTCTTAAACTCGGGCAACATGTAACCGGCGTTTAGGAGTATTTAAGGCGTTGCCAGGAACTAGAGGCTTTTGCTAGAGAGCATTTTTTTCCGTCACCTCCGTGATTAAATTACCGGTGTAAAGGAAGCATAATAATAAACCTGCTCACACACACATCTAAGTGTAAATATGAAATATTAGGGCTCCAGGGTGACGTCTCCAAATAACTTATTCTGTCCAATCAACTGCCCCAGAGATATTAAAACAATATAGAATCAGATTAGAGAATTCTTGGCATTTTTCTTGTTGAATGACTTGAATAATTAAGGCATTGTCTAAATGATCTATTTGTCAATTAGCAAATCATATCAGCCCTAACAAATGATTGGGTCATGATGTGCATTATGGCATGTTGTTGATGATTTAAACATGTAAATAAAATGAGGTTGAGTGCTTTGTTTGCAAGATGCATTCAGAAACTGACTGGAATGCATGTTTAGCTAATCTAGCAAGTGAAATGCATTAAAACCACATTGATTTTAATATAATAGGCTTAGACTACCCAGTCTGTCTTGTTCTGATTTAATATTTTAGATTTATTTTAGGCTTGGCTTGACTCTAGCGAGGGCTCAAGGGGCTGTTTTATGTTTCAGGTGTCTTGGGGGCGACTCATGTCGAGATCGAGCACCACTTGGAGATGGGCCGCAAACTTTTGGCTGCTGGTCAACTGGCTGAAGCGTTGTCCCACTACCACTCCGCTGTAGGTAAGGTTACTCCCACACTGACCCACATCTACACCGGCTGAGTAATGCCCTCTTCTGTGCTTCACCACAGACGAGAAGATTTTAGTACAGACAGAATGAGTACTTTAACAAAAATGTTCTTGACATTTTAGAGGGAGACTCTAAGAATTACCTGACCTACTACAAGCGAGCTGCAGTGTTTCTAGCGATGGGAAAATCCAAATCTGCCCTGCCAGACCTGACCAGAGCCATCCAACTCAAGCCGGACTTCCTGGCTGTAAGTTCACCTCATCACAACCAGAAAAACTTGTCGCTTTAAGTGTGTCCATGTGCTGCTTGTCATATTTATTTCCATCTCTTGGGTCTTTCTTTTTTGCTCTCCTATGTCTCCTCATCGCGTCATCTCTTTATTTTCCTGCATATTTTTCAGGCCAGGTTGCAGAGAGGGAATATCCTGTTGAAGCAGGGCAGCACACAGGAGGCCAGGGAGGACTTTGAAGCAGTGGTGAGTTTAAAGTCCTAAACCAATGCTTCTATCCTTATTTTTTAGTGTTTTACCTGAAACAGCAGCTTGACAGAACAATGCATCTGTTTTTTTTTTTGTTTTTTTTAGCTGCAGCGCTCACCCGACCACGAAGAAGCTCAGGACCAGCTGATGAGAGCGAACGAGCTGGAGGAGCTGCAGGAGGAGGCCCATGCTGCGTACCACCAAGGGGACTACAGCACCACCATCGCCGTGCTAGGGAGAGTCATTGAGGTGTGTGCCAACTTTAAAGAAAAACCCCTTTGCATGCAGTTTGTCTGTTGTTGTTTTATGTTCGTAGTTTAATTTTTTACCAATATATGTAAAATAAACATCCATAATATATTAAAAAGCGCATTTTAATAAACCAAGTTTTCTCCTCCTGTAAAGACACATCTGTTACTCCATCATTCATCTGTAATAACATGTGTATGGATTAAGAGTGATCACCATTGCTTGACTCAGTTTGCACATGTCTCCTCACTCTCTTATAAAAGTCGCCGTCTTTCCTCAGATCTCTCCGTGGGACCCTGAGTCGCGGGAGCTTCGCGCGGAATGTTACATCCGAATGGGAGACCCGCAGAAAGCCATCCAGGACCTGACGCCGACCACGAGGCTGCGCAACGACAACCGCGCCGCCTTCCTGAAGCTCAGCATGCTGCACTACAGCCTCGGAGATCACCGCGAGTCTCTCAAGTGAGCATTGTTGCTGGGGGAGTAAACAAACTATGTTGATTTAGCCAGCCGGAGTCATGCAAATCCAGCTGCTTTTCATCTCAGAGAGCTTCCTGTTTACCGTGTTGTTTAGTCAAAATGTCATTCTCACTCGTCTGTTTCCGTGCAGTCACATCCGAGAGTGTCTGAAGCTGGACCAGGACGACAAAGAGTGTTTCGGCCACTACAAGCAGGTGAAAAAGCTCAGCAAGCAGCTGGACTCGGCAGAGGAGCTCATTCAGCAGGAGAGGTGGGTACTTCTTTGGGATCGGTGCACTTTCCCTAAATCGTGATCCTCTGAAGAACATGTATTTACAACATGCGTCTGTCTGAAACAGAAACACACACACTGCAACCTGCATGTGATTCCTGTTCTTTTGATATCTGTTGACACCAACAAAACAGAAATACAGGAAAAAAAAGTACACCTGCAGCCTAACTAGCCTAATGAATGACCCTGATCTTCTTTGTACACACCATTAGGCATCAGCAAGCCATTGATAAGTATCAATCGGTGATAAAGACGGAGCCGAATGTCCCGTTCTACACCAACCTGGCCAAGGAGAGGATCTGCTTCTGCCTTATCAAGGTGAGAGAGAGCACTGGTGGCCCAGTTGTTGCCGGCATGTAACGGTTCTTTAGGCCTGTTATCTTTCTGTGATGAATGGCAACACATTGTCCCTCTCTCTCGCCAATTCTAGCTTAACTTGGCTCTGGAGGCCATAGACGTGTGTTCAGAGGCTCACCAGAGAGACCCCCGCAACGCCAACGTCCTCCGAGACCGAGCCGAGGCGTTCATCCTCAACCAGGAGTACGAGAAAGGTAACAGGACTCTCCACACCCTTCAGGGGGACGCCTTTGACTAAAGATCTATACACACTCTTGAATTTGCACGCACATGAAAAATATAGATGTGGTGTGTCTTTTTTTTCAGCAGGTTCTTCAAGGTTTAAGATATCAATGATGCTGTAAACCATTGAGCAAAACACAGATTTAGAAGATGAATTAATAGTCTAATTGGATGAATTAATAATTATATTGTGCAGATGCAATCACAGCATATTTGTGGTGGACAAACATGGTTTTTAACGTCTTTTATTTGTTTCCGTTCAGCGGTGGAGGACTACCTCGAGGCGAAAGAGTTCGACAGCGAAGGCGAACGCCACGATCTCAAAGAAGGACTCGACCGAGCTCAGAGACTGCTCAAAGTCTCTCGTAAGAGGGACTACTACAAGATCCTCGGTGTCGGCAGGTAACCAGCCCCAACCGGTTTTATTACAAAAGCGGTGTTAACTTCCTCCGTCCATTGTCGAGGACTTTATCGAGCGGATTGCTCCAGATAACTCTTCACAAACGTTGTTTTTGTCAGGAGTGCAAACAAGCAGGAGATCATCAAGGCGTACAGGAAGCTGGCGATGCAGTGGCATCCCGACAACTTCCAGTCCGAGTCGGAGAAGAAAGAGGCGGAGAAGAAGTTTATCGACATCGCGTCGGCTAAAGAGGTCCTCACTGACCCAGGTTAGGAGCTGAGAAAAAGTTTATGGCAGCCTATAATGTCACATGTTCACACTACTAGTAGCTGATCTAAGAAAGAAAAGTTCCACATTTGTGGACATGTGCTCATTCGCTTTCTTGCTGAGATTTAGAAGAGAAGATTCATTTCCGTTATCAGGCATCGAGATCTCCATGTCTGCATCGTGTTAAACAATGCTTTAGCTTCCCCCCCGTCTTTAAATTTGTCCCTCCATGCTTCCCGTTGTCTTTTCCAGAAATGAGGCAGAAGTTCGACGCAGGTGAGGATCCTCTGGACCCTGAAAACCAGCAGGGCGGAGGCGGAGGACAGAGCTGGCCTCACAGCTTCAACCCGTTCGAGTCCGGCGGCAGCTTCCACTTCAAGTTCCAGCACAACTAGAGAGGAGGCCTTGACGAACACCGGGGGGGGGGGGGGGGGGGGGGGCAGGCAGGCAGGCATACGGGAAGAACAACAACAACAACGGCGGATTTAAGGAGAAGTCTTCCTCAGAACTTGTGCTTCAGCTTGGACACGGTTACTTGAACGTTTGATTTTGAATGCAGGTCTTGAGCTGTACAGTGAAAAGAAACCTGGACTTCTCACCACTAAAACGACGGATCTGACTGGCTACTGTTCACTAACTCGTCGCTGTGGTTGAAGGAAATGAAGTCTTGTGTCAACACTTGAAAGTTGGCTCTTATCGTTTCTTTCTTTGTGCCATTCTTCGAACCTTTTTATCAAGGGACTTTTTTTTTTTTTAAGTGCAGTAGCTGCTCGGACATTACAGGACTGTCGGTGTGTTGATTTCTGCTCGCAGTATTCTTTACATGTCGACTGATCTCGGTCTACGTTTTTGACCATGTCGAACCTTCTCTGTCCTAGAGAACCAAGACTTTTCTACACCATGGCAGCAGGAGGGTTTATGTTGTCGAGCTTCTACCGTAATGGGAAGTAGGTGAGACTTCCGCACTAGGAAAGGAAACTTGGTGGGTGTTACAGCTTTGAAATCCTATGGATCTTAAATCGGTGCGGCTCCGGGATTGTTTGTGATTTTCTTTTAAATTCCTTATTTGTTTTTCACCAGCTATCCAATTGGAATAACGTGCAAATTCTGTATTTTATGGCGTCTTTAACCGGCTATATATCCAGATCCAAACATTGTAGACGTAACTTATGAATGAAGACTTGACAAAAACTCACACGTGAACACAAAAACTTGCAATTTTACCCTTTTTGTTTGAAAAACTGGCCATCTTCTCCACTCATGAAATGTTACTGCAGGTTTTTTTTTTTTAAAGCCTTTCGAAAGACTCTTCACAAACTAAGTGTGTCTTCAATGGTTATCTGAGAGCCTCATTTATCATAATCCCACAGAAAAGTGCACATTTTAAATGTTGTACTGAGCTGGGGTGGTACATCAGTTACAGATAAAATGGAACTTCGTAAATGAGGCTCCGGTTTCACAGCCAGAAAAGACGCACAAAAGTTTAACCTGTAAACCAAGATGAGATTCTTTTAAAGATTTGACTTCTAAGTTATTTTTGTCCAAAATGGTTTAAAGGTGCAGTGACTCGTCACTGCTTTGAAACCTGTCTGCTGCGCGACTGTGTGAACCAAATGTGACCGGCTCTTTGTATTTAAATCAACTGAGTGGGAAGGTTTTGTTTCTGGGTTTTCTCTCTTTTTAGGGCTTTCTGCTGTTGGTGGCATCAATTTTACTGTTGCCAAAACTGAATCAGCTGACATGCTCCAGCGTATTAAAAATAATTGAAGCAATCTCAATTTTGTCCTAATTTCATGACGCATGGCATGCAAAGGGGACAGCTACAGAACAGCTCCCCCTGCAGCTACAAGTATTTAGTTTTATAGATGTTCATCCTCAGATATTTGACATATAGTCCAGTAATTTTAAGTACATTTTCATAACTTCCATTGCACTCTTATAACATCAGACTCACTATAGAAAGAAATAAGATGTTTTTTTTTAATCCCACACATTCTTGTCAAAACCACAATGCTGGCAACTTTACCCTGTGATTTATTTTTCATCTTCATACTTCCAGTCTCTAAAATCGGTGGCGTTCCCCTTTATAAAACCGGTCGCTCCTGACACACAAACTTTAAACACAAGGTCTCAAATACAACAATGTATTTTTAAACATAAAACAAAGATGTTCTCTGTACACTGAAACATTTCCACACACATCCATGGATCTGCTGTTTGCGTCACCTTCTCATACACGCATGTATTGTACAGCTGTCGCTGCCAACGGACACATCTTCAAGCTTAGAGGAAATGGCTAAATCCAGAATATTGACACGGGAGTTCTGCATTTGAGGAGGTGAAGTGTCCGATAACATCCTCCAACGAAGACGTCCACTCTCCTTTGAGCTCAGCCACATGTCGGCCTCTCTGAGAGACAGACAGGAAGGGGCCTTCATCAATGGTTCGGTCCAAATCCGTGTGTGTCCTCCAGACTGTCTGCCTCCACCTCGATGGATACCACGTGGTGACCGGGGATCATGGCCAGGCCCAGGACTCTGGGTTCGCCCTGAGAGAATGTGTCTGAGGACAAAATGGATTCAAAGAGATTATTGTGGGAAATAAGATGGACTAAAAGTGCTTAACGAAAATGTTCCAGGATTTTATTTTATGTTTGGTTGACTGTCAGGTTGATAATGACACACTGATGTCGGTGTCCTTTTGCATGATGGAATAGGCTTGTTATTGCTCGGCCATCTTTATACTTTACCTGTATATTTATTTACCTGTGGATTTGAGGAACTCCTGAGCTGATCCGAGGATGACGTTGCAGTCTCGGTCCGTGCAGAGGAACAGCCCCACCAGAGTCCGTCCGTCTGTCATGCGGATCTTCATGTTTTTGTTCAGGAGCCCCTCTAGTTTCTGCCGGGCCTGAGACGACGGGGACACGTGAGAGTGCTCCTGGACGAGAGCAGAAAGATAACAGAATAAACCAACACTGAAGAGCTGCTTTCTGCAACCGTCAATAAATGCATTCAGGCAACTGTAAGCTGATTATGCCAATACAGATAGCTATATAGATGCTATGGCTAAGAAGCATTATGTATCTAAATATTATCTGGTAAATAACGTGGCCTAACGTCACACAGGTTAACCTAATGGGTGACAGTTGTATTAGCTGATTCGTTAGCCACCGGCTAACGTTAGCACCAAGAGAAGCCTTGATAATAATTGAAACTGTTTAATGTATGCCGTTTTCTCCCCGTTATAACAACCTGAACAATCATGTAAAATACAAAGAAGTAAATAAATAAAGCGGGATGTACATACATGTGTCGAAGGACCATTTTCCTCAATCATTGTTGCCATAGCCCTTCTTCTTCTTCCCCTACATTTGCTTACGGAGCAATTTGTCTGACGGACCAGCTAAACCGGAAACTTCACATCCGGTGTTTTTTTTCTTTTTTAAAGGGAACGACACACGATACTGACGGAGCGTTATGTAATATAACATTGAGGGTTAACATGGAAATGTAAAATTAGGTGAACCGTTAACCTGCATTGGTAGCTTATGACAGTTCAGAGAAAAGGAAGTAAACAACAGATAAGGAAGACTATTAAAAGCAAGAAGGTCTCACACCTGACCTTTTAATGACCTTTTAAAAGATACTTCAAGTCTGCAGAAATACAGAGAAAGTATGATATTTAAAAGTTCAAGGATAATGGCATATTGAATTTCCCTACATCTCCCAGGACTCTCCTGAGTCAGTTACTTTAAAGACATCAGCTTACATCTTGTTTTATTTGTCTGATAATTATAATAATGAGCTTTACTCCATATATTAACTCCTTCTGTATGAACAGTTACAGGTGTCGAGCAATACAGGTGTCAAATTCTAGCTAACAAGCTATCTAACAAAGTGAGGCTATAGCAACAAAAACCTTCAGTGTTTTAAACTAACTATACAAAGCTGCATTCATGTATTGCTCATCAATACAACTCGTCATTCGTAAGAGAGGAAGTTTGTGTTATTTCTTCTTCAAAAAGTTACACAGTCTCACTAGGACACAATGAGGGCCCAGACTTCACCAATTGCAATATGTGAAGCCTTTATTTTTGTTGTGTGAGTGGAAAACTCTAAAACAGGGGTAGATACAGATCTTAAAAGATGTGTCATTTCATATATAGGAGTGTTGGTTGGTCAAAAGAACCAAAGAATTAATATTTCCGAGGTATTCTCTTGATACTCATGTATTTTTGACACCTTGTGTCCTCAGGCTACTACCCACATTGATCTTGTCTGCACACGTCCACCCCCTCCCAGCTCTCACACTGACTGGGGCCAATGGCGTCGGAGAGCCTGCGGTGAAGGGATTAATGGTACGAGGCGGGACCGCGTCAGAGGAAAATCAACTCCCTGACGTCACAATGTTACAGCTGCAGGTGAGTAGAATGTGCTGTACTGCATTCTTCCTTTGATTCGTTGACCCTCACTACACATGCAGGCTTTTTGTTGTCATTAAGGCGGTGGTGCAGCTATTTGCTCTACCTTTATACTAAATGTGTTATGGTCTTAAATAATTACGGAATTTGACAAAACAATAGAAAGGCATTTATTCCCAACCAAACGGTATAAAAGAAAATCATTTCTACAGACATAAAAATTGGTGTAAGATACATTGGCCACTTGGTATCAGAAGAAAAGAGATGGGGGTTGAGGCAAAGCTAGAACGAGAATAATCTAAAGCATATTAAACACTGATGAAACCTCCAAGTCTCACAGGGCAGAAGAAGCCATATTTGGAACCTATTAACTGGCTCATGCAAGTCTGAACACAGAGAATACATCACCACTTTCACTTAAAACACTTTGCTGGGATATGTGAAGCTAACTTTTCCCTCCCGAGCCCACCGCTACGTGACGTTATTTGAGCATTATCTGCTCTCCGGGTCGCCTCGGTTCAGACGGCTCAGCTCTGAACGGAGCACAAGGGGCCGGTGTCTTCCTCTGTGTCTCACTGCATAAAATCTGGGTTAGCTACAGCGCAGCACCCAGGGGAGGCACTTTTCACCACTCATCCTCGCCATGTCTCCCTGCCAAATGGACACGGGGGGGGGGGGGGGCAGCCTCAGCACAGTAGTGCAGTGTGTCAAGGCCTGCAGCATAACAGAGAATCCTGGCTAGTTTCACCCATTTATTTATTGTTGTTGTTTGTAGACGCATAGTGAGACACAGTCACAGCTACGAATACCTCCAGTGTGGAGGTATTCGCATGGATGCCGTGGGTGAGGGTGCATAAAGTAGATATGCACATAACGCACGTGTCTCGCCAGTCACCCAATCTGTTAGCAGACACCTCTTGCATTGCATCTCTCTCTTGGCAGATGTAGCCGTTGGATCAGACACTAACAAATTCCCCTAACGTCGTCGTCTGTGGGCGCGCGGGGAAGCCGAGTACAGGCACCTGTTGCTGCAGAGGAGGCGTGATGGAAACACTTGTTTACAGGATATCCAGTTATTGGTGTAAAAAGGTGAGTAACGAACGCAGACGGAATACCGAGAGGATGAAAAAAAGATGCTTCACACAATGTTGTGGCTGCTCTCTTCCCTGTTTCCCAAGTGTTCTTGAGATTATTCATGCAAATATCCCATGGAAGGGATGGCACTGTCCCTCATAACATAACTACACATTTGCATATTTGTTATGTAGCTATATATTAGCTTGGCAAGCAGTTCAGTTATTTTTGTTTAAGTGTATAATGCGGTTCAATTGAATACCGATGCCAGCGTGCAACAGCATTTGAATTGCATGAATGTGTTAAAAAAAGAAGACGACGCAACAATAGTTACATTTATGCAGTGAGTTCAGGCTCGTTAAGTCACTCGTTAAGTGACCAGCTGTGTCCAATTAACGGATTGATGCAGTGACTGGCACAACATGATTATGTTGTGAAAAAGAAGTTTAGGTCTACACATGTGTACATATTTAAGACAAATATACTTACATTTAGGTGACCTTCTGACTGACTATTCGTTTTAGATAGAAGGATTTAAATAAAAACATACTGAGGGTTAACTTTCTGGAGAAGCAGCGAATCAGTTCCACCTTCTGTTTTTTACATTTTGACATATAAGAAGGAAAGCACAGCTGTTACTATTATCATTAACGAGTGTCTCAGTACGACACAACACCATGACTCAAGCAGATAAATGGAATTGACCCATAATTAATTCATTTTATTATTTACACCCTACTGTGACGTGTCAAATTGTCTTCAGCAAAAAAAGCCTATTCCATAATATAACTTTTTTTTTTTTAATTCTTAACAAAAGGTCCACATACTAGCTTTTTCAACCAAATCTCACAGTGTGCTGGTGTTGGATGCAATTAAAAGCTCCAGAAACAACTCCTATGTGGACGTTTGGTCAAGATTTCTTTTGTCCAGCTTCTGTTTCTAAGGTGAAGAATGAAATGTGAATAAACCTCTCACATATTTATGTGATTCATGGGATTTAACACCCTCTGACTGCTAATAAATCAACCGTAGCTGCCGGAGGAGTTACATCTATGAGAAATATGATTATTGCATTGTTGTTGCTCATTTACACGCTTTGTTGTGGCTTTTTATTTATTTATTTTTTATATTAAATGCAATAAAATCAGTCAAATGCGATGAAATCAACACCACATAAATTGATAAACTACTTTTTTTTCTTTTCGTCTAAGACACTCATCACGTATGCAGACGTTTCAAATCAGATCATTTTTCATCCTCTACACGTTCTCTTGTGTGATCCCTCGATTCGGTGGTGAGGTTTGAACGTGAGAGACAAAGCAACATTTTCTTTTGTCAAAACAGAAAGTGCCCCGAGCAGCCACCGAGGGCTGGCTCGGGTGGAGGGATTCCCATGGCATTACTGCCATCCAGTCCAAGAGATTTTACAGTAAGAGTTAAAACAAAAAAAACAAAAAAATCTCCTGTGTTTGTCTCAAACCTCTGCACCAGAGGCGGATAAGGCGCTTTGAGCTGTTTATTATGCTGCTTTATAAAGGGGGGGGGAGTATAATTTGCATATTGTGAATTGTTTCCATCCCCACCACAAGTAGTTAATTTTTAAGCAATACAATCTGATGTAAGTCTGGGCATGGCTGCGGCAGATTTTCCCAACCCCCCTCTCTCTCAATCCCTCCCCAACACACACACACACACACACTCTGCTGCTCCAAAATAATTTTTATACAACGGTGGGGGCTCCGGAGAATATAAGGTGGCCATATTTGATAGATTTGTGTCGGGCTCTGCAATGCAGAGAGAGAGAGAGAGAGAGAGTTGGTGCGTGTGATGTTGCAAGTGACACTGACACCAGGCAAGTCTGTCTGATCCGGACTTGGAGAAAGGAGAGGGGAGGGCTGACAGAAAAGTAACAAACAAGTAACAATGTAACTTACATGCAGTCACACACCCCTTTCTCTTGTAACAATGTGTACGTTTTTAAGGAGGGAGGGGGCGCGCACAGAGGAGAAGGAGAGAGGGGAGAGAGATAGAGAAAAGAGGAGGGGGGTGCGTTCTGAAATAATATAGTCAGCCATTTTTTATGTAAGGGGATTTTTCTTATTGGGGGGGTTGTTAAAAAATAAATATAAGAGGGCGGCCATCTTTGTTGCTCTGCCTAGTGTAAAATATTTCAAAACGCCCCCCACTTTTTTTTCCCTGTGCCGATTTGAATATTAAATAAATATCACACATTCGGGGGCAAGAATACGCTTTTTTGAATACAAGGACGGATCCAATGACCGGGATATAATGTCCTCTCCTCTCCGGTCCTGTGAGGAAGAAGAGGGCATGGTGGTTAATTCCGAGGGAGGAGATTTTGATGAAGAAGACGACGACGGAGACCTAGACGAGAACGCAAGCGACATAAACTCGCCGGCGGCGCCTCGGGAAACTGCAACACCAGCCGCGCCAGGTACGGTAAAGAAAAACTGGCGCACAAGTCGGGAGCGCGCGCACACGAAATCAAAAAACACACATACTTACTAGCGGTTATATTTTTGGGAGAACGGGCATGTCAGAAAGTAGCCGGAACCCGCAGTTTGTGCGCCCAAATCGGTGCAGGTCCAAGTACGGTACAGTGAGAGATCAGCGAGGACTCGGGTGCGCGCATACAAAATAAAAAAACATACTCACTAGACCAGATTTTTTTTTTCTTTAAAAAAAAAAAAAGGCACGTTTCACCATCTTAAACTGCGTTACATCCCCCAGTTGTTCCACCTTTATGTGGATTTAGGTGCCATGTTTGCAGCTTTAAGAGAGGCAGGGGGAAGAAGAAGAAAAAAAAGACGAGAGCGCGCTTTGAAAACAGAAACACAACTCCTCTCCAGTTTGCAACAAAACGCAGAAAGACTGTGTCCCCTCGTCGTTTATCGTCGGGACAACACGCTCATTATCCCCCCGCTCCGCTCCCTCGAGCTCCTCCAGCACCTCCCAACAAAAAGTTTAAACTAAACTTGCCGCAGCGGAATTTCCGCAAAAGTCACTTCTCCAACATCACAAAGTCGCCGCTTGTTTTGTCCCCTCAAATCCCTTTTGACAGCTCCTAGACTCGGATGACAAGGAAACGAGCAGGCCGGGAAATACGGTCGCCCTGAAGGGTTAATAAAAAAAAAAAAGACTGGCAAAAACATGGACTCCCCTGGCCGGAGGCTACACATATATGATACCTATCTCGAGAGGGTGCGTTTCGCTTTGCAGACATGAAAGCGTGATGATGTGAAACCGTGGTGCCAGACACAAAGTTGCCCCCCTTACCCCATTGTCGCTGTGACAGGTCAAAATAGGACACCGCTTCTGCACGCTTACAGGACAGAGAGGTGTGACTGTTCAGCTAGCTTAGCATACATACCGACTAATTAGCCGAATGCCATGTTTATTAAATGTATTTATACATATATATATATATATATATGATAGAACAAGGTGTTCTTTTTGTGCTCCTCTCAGCAGCAATATTGTAGGAAAGAGGATTGAAGGCTTGTGACATTCTGGAAGTTTCTGTGACAGTGGAGCCGCACGGGGTTGCAGTCAAAGTAAAAGGGTGCAGAAAGTAGCGGTTGGTTAACCACACTGCAACAGTCCAAAATAGCAGTGCAGCAGCCTTAAGGTTGCAGTTTATTCATAGAAAAACATACAATAACTGGGGATGTTTTGGATTTGGGTGCAGATGTAGCAGAAGAGCTTTAAAGTGCAGATGTCGTGTTGTTATGATCGTAATTAACTCAAGATAAACGGGACACAAGTGTAATTTCCTGTGTGAATATTACAGGAATCATCCGTTGCTTTGTAGTGTTAATTGGCTCGACTCCGGACCCGCCGTGCCAGACGGATACATTAGTGTCGAGCTTCCCGTCGGGGACCTTAACCCCCACGCGACCTCTAAGCGGCGGTGGTCGGGGGTCCCCGTGTGGGGAACAGCAGAGCGGTGAACGGAGTCGTTCCAGTTCAGCGCACCGTCCGTCCCGCGGGCGGCCTCCGGATCACCGAGCCCTGCGTGCGTGCTGCCGCCGCCCACGGCACGTCTTCGGCGGCTGCGCGCGGCACGGACAAGCGGGGTTGGTTGTTGGACGGGGTGGGAGTGAGGAAGAGGAGGAGGGGGTGTTGCTGCTGCTGCTGGTGGGAGCGCTCACCAACAAAGGCAGACAGACATAAAAACACCGACAAAATAACTGTAGCCTATCAAACAGGCTGGTTGCACGGTCGAGACCGCAGCCCACATCTTGGTTCTGCTTTAATGCTTTGCTGCGGTTTTTTTTCTTTTGAAGCCGAGGCGGCTGCTATTTCCTCCATCTTTCTCTTTTTTTCCCCCCCACTCCGAAGCCAGGTCAGGTTGCAGGTTAAATTGCTTTACCCGTGGTCGTGATATTGCACGTGCACCGTAGGGTAACAACTGGCCTGATATTTTCCCCATCATTTGCAGTGGAAGCAGAGATTTCAGTGATGTATTTTTGATGCGCTGTGGCGGAGAGTCTTCAATTATACAAGACAGGGGTGCATGTCTACTCTTTGTATTCCCTCAAATCAAAAGTTTAAAAATGTAACAAAAATCTTTTTACGCATCAGCACTTCTGGAAGCTTTTCAGCTTTGTTTGCAAGAAAAAGGGTGCCGGTCACACTTTTGCATCGCCAATAAACCAATTATCTCCATGCTATGGAACCCCCAACACAGCTGCCAAATCTAATTAACAGCGCTCAGACAAACTGTATCTAATTTAGCACGTGTGACAATTCAGACAGGGTCAGAGGTCGGCGAAGCCACTGTGACTATCGGGCAGCTTCTGTTTGTGCGTAATTATGTTCAGTGGGGATTAGCCGAGTGTTCGGAAGCGTTTGAGAAGGTCACTGCTCGTCTGATTCTGATAGCTGTCTCTCTTCCACGCTTTCCTTTAACCCCCCCCCCCCGTCTCTCCTCTGCTTTTTGTCCCAGAAGAAGAGCCAGAGATATCAGAAAGAGATGTCCCGTGCAAGAAGAAAGGGCGACCGAAGAAAAAGGACACAAAGAAGAAAGACAAAGAGGGGAAACCGGCCAAAGCAAAAAAACGCAAGAAGATTGTAAGTTTGTCCTGTTTTGTCTTTACTCACTACACTTTTTTTTTGTAATAATAATGTTTTAATATCTTCCTCTCTCATCTTCTCTTCAGGGCAGCGATGTAGAGAGAGAATCGGACAGAGAAAGAGACTACGGCGAGAACTCGGACAGCGTAGCCAGCGACTATGGATCTGGAGAGAAAAAGAAGAAGAAGAAACATAAAGAAAGGAAGGAGAAAAAAACCAAGAAGAAGAAAAAAGTCGATGGAGACAGCAGCCAGGAGGAAACAATCAAGGTGAAGAAGAATACAACTTAATCCTTGACGAGTCCATTATCTCCCTCTTCTGATTGGTCTGTTTTTTTCTCAGCAGCCAATAGAGCAGAAGACGTCGGCGCAGCTGGCGAAGGAGTGGGGTCTGGAGGATGTTGATCATACCTTCACAGAGGAAGACTACGGGGAACTCACCAACTACAAAGCCTTCAGCCAGTTCATGAGGTGCAGCGTCCCTCTCTTGTTTTCACGTGGCGTTGATTTGCACGGCTGGCTGTAGCTGTTGTTAAATCAAGACACGCTGACGTCACATACGTACACACAGGCGTTAAAAACATGTTGTTATGTGGCGGGGCTCTGTGGCTTCAGTAGGGGGGGACACATTTTTAATAAACAAGCTCTATTTTGATTATTTTTAATGCACTCTGGCACCTTATTTACGTCCAAATTACACTTAAAAAAAGTAGTCGTTGAGTATGCTATTGCTCAGAAAAGGATTAAGTCGGGAGTTGCTGAGTGGAGACAAGTGTGGCTTGAAGGAAGGATTTCAGGAATTAAAAGGAACGTTTTGCTGCTATTTGGATGTTGAGTCTCTATTTTCCTGCAGAGCTATAACGTCTGCACTGTTCATAGTGACAGAGAAAAGTGGTGCTCTCCTGCTAAACCCCACAGCTCTTACATGCACTCCTGTGGGATCTTGTTCTACACTTCTACTTCTCGGGTCTGCCTTTTGAAATCATGTATTCCCGCTTGCGAACATCTGCACGTGTACTGTTGCAGTACACGAAACAACTGGCTACGTCTTTGTATGAAGTTTCAAGCTAGTCGCTAGTCACACGCGGTTAAACCCGTGCTCTACACTGGCAGCACCGTTCAGCCGACACCGTCCGTGGTGAAAACTACCAGCAGCATATCAACACACATACAGGTGGCGTGGGTTGAAAACAACTTGCCTCTGTCTCCCCCTGGAAGCTCTGTCTTCACCATCCCTGCTAGTTGTGCCGGCAGCCTCGGCCTCTGTGGCTGAGTCATACCCGCTTTCACTGTGATAACATGAAGTAATCCATAATGCCCACTGCTTCTATATGTCGGGATGTTATTTTGCTGCCTAAACTCAACTGGCTCCACTAAGCTGTCGTGGAAAACTAAAATATAAACCATTGCTGTGAGTAATACATTAGTCAGTCAAATAGGTATGCCACAGCTCTTTCCAAAGCATTTTAATGATCCTCAAACTTTCGCCCGCAGGCCGATGATCGCCAAGAAGAACCCTAAGATCCCCATGTCAAAGATGATGACCATCCTGGGGGCCAAGTGGAGGGAGTTCAGCTCCAACAACCCCTTCAAGGGCAACGCCGCTGCTGTCGCGGCGACCGCTGCAGCTGCCGCGATCGCCGTCGCCGAGCAGGTCTCTGCAGCGAACGCCTCGCCCGAGCCTCCGCCGCCTCCTCCGCCGCCTCCACCAATCAGAAAGGCCAAGACGAAAGAGGGCAAAGGTCAGTGGTTAGTTTTAGGCCTGCGGTCTTAATTTCCCTGTGCCTCTCTAGTGTCAGTTTCTATGGGATGTAGGAAAAGAGTATCCAGTTAAAACTGAGCCCAGACCATCAGGACAGTGTAACTATACCAATCTTTAACACATGCTGATGTTGTGTGAACAGCTGCTTATGTGGTGGTTTACACGACAATATAAGACAACAATCTGACCGTATTTACTCCTTGTTAAGAGAGCTTACACACGTCTTTGTCATTCTTTTATTGCAAATGTTCCATATGCTCTTTTCTGTCCAGGTCCTGGCTTCAAAAAGCGCAGTAAAAGTCCTCGAGTCCCCGACAAGAAGAAGGCTGCAGCGAAGGCTAAAAAGATGGCACCCATTCGTATCAAACTATCGCCTGTAGGTGCCAAGAGGAAGAAGAGTTGCTCAGTGAGTACAAAGCTTACGTCCGCTCCCTCCGTTCCTTCGTTCCGACTTCTGTTCCATGTTCACCCCTCTTTTTCTTCACATGACTCCGTCTTTGTCCCCGTTAGAGCGAGGACATGGACGAGGACGAGTCGGAGCAGGAGGACTCCAGCGTTCACAGCTCCTCCGTCCGCTCCGACAGCTCCGGACGCGTCAAGAAGAACAAGCGAGGGCGGCCCGTCAAAAAGAAGAAGAAAAATACAAGTACAATCACAACGCGCCCGTTATATGCACGTATATGCAAGTATATAATGCCTGTGGGACGCGAGCGTCAAATTTCCTTTAAATCATGTTTTTAATCATTATTTTAAATGAGAAACGACAACAAAAACACATTGTCAGCCATGTTTCTGTCTTTCTGTGCTCGTCCCTCCAGTCCCAGGTGAAGAGGAGGGGGACGGCTACGAGACGGATCATCAGGACTACTGCGAGGTGTGTCAGCAGGGCGGGGAGATCATCCTGTGCGACACTTGTCCTCGGGCTTACCACCTCGTCTGCCTTGAGCCTGAGCTGGACAAGGCCCCCGAGGGCAAGTGGAGCTGCCCGCACTGCGTGAGTACAACAAGAGCGCGCCTGTTCCTGCTTTCTATTTATGATTTTGGCTTTGCGGTCCTTCTTCACATATCTTCAAAAGTGGTTTTGTTTTGACTCGCTCGGAGCACCGGATGAATGGAGGCTTTGTAGCTGCATCATAAATCTCAGAGGAAAGCTGGCTGCATTCAGACAAACACAATCCTGCCCAGACACAGAGACAGATACCTGAAGTGGTGCCGGGGTTGTTGATCCATTCAGTAATGTCACAAATAACAATGCTCCTGTTCCTTCGTTCCTTCTTCCTTCAGGAAAAGGAGGGAATCCAGTGGGAAGCGAAGGACGAGGAGTTTGAGGATTTCGAGGAGGACAGCGAGGACAGGGTGATATCAGAGGTCAGCGCCGGGGTCCCCGTCGGGGCAGAGGACGAGGATGACGACCACATGGAGTTCTGTCGGGTGTGCAAAGACGGCGGTGAACTGCTGTGCTGCGACACCTGCACCTCTTCCTACCACATCCACTGTCTCAACCCGCCGCTGCCAGAGATCCCCAACGGAGAGTGGCTGTGTCCGCGATGCACGGTGAGTTGCCATTTGACCAATATGATACACGTGTGTTTTTAGTGACTTTACAGTCGGCTCTTTGCATCGATCTGATCGATCAGTCAGGTATACGAATAGCCAGAGGTGTGGGCCTGAGTCACTTGGACTCCAGACAACTTTGACGACTCTTCAGAGAAAGTCTATTTTATTATGTACGGAGATAATACACAACAATAACCTGCAACCTCAGCATCAGCCCACACTCCTTACCACAAAGTGTATTCTCCCTCTAGTGTCTGCCAATCAAAGGGCGAGTCCAGAAGATCCTCCACTGGCGATGGGGCGATCCTCCGCCTCCTATCCCGGTTCCCCCCGCTCCCGACGCCGCACCCGACGCCCCCCCGCCGCCACCCATGAAGGGCCGAGCCGAGAGGGAGTTCTTTGTCAAGTTGACGGGTCAGTCCTACTGGCACTGTACCTGGATCACTGAGCTGCAGGTGAGAGAGAGAAAAGGTTAAGGGAGGGATGGATGTAAAGTGATCTGTATAATCTGTTTAACAATGTTTCTCTCCCTCTTCCTCCCCTCCAGCTTGAGATCTTCCACTCTGTGATGTACAGAAACTACCAGAGGAAGACGGACATGGACGAGCCTCCCAGCCTGGATTACGGGTCGGGTGGAGAGGACGAGAACGGAGTGGGAAAGAGCGAGAAGAGGAGGGCCAAGGACCCCCAGTACGCCATACTGGAAGACAAGTACTACAAATACGGCATCAAGCCGGAGTGGATGATGATCCACCGCATCATCAACTACAGGTGAGGTTTGTGTGTGAGCCCTAGCATGCAGCAGCTGGTCTTCTGTGGGTGCCAAACGTTATGTCATTACTTATGTTAAGCTCTTTAAAAGTAAGATGTTTGAGAACTTAAAGGGGAGCTTCAGTATGTTTCAACCTGGACCCTATTTACCTATTTAGTTAATGATTTATAAAACAATCCAGGGTGTGATTGATTTATATCTAGAAACATAACACATTTCAGGTTGCAGGATTTAGTTTTTTTGGCCTGTTGAAGTACAACCATTCAAACTCTGTGCTGTATGTGTCTCTGTCAGCGTGGACAAGAAGGGGACGTACCATTACCTGGTCAAATGGAGAGACCTGACCTATGACCAGTGTACCTGGGAGAGAGATGACCTGGACATCCCTGACTTTGCAATTTACAAGGGCAACTACTGGAGACACAGGTAGGGACCCCCCCCCCCCCCAGTAATGTATAGTTAAATTCATGTGGAACACGATACACATTTATCACTCGTATTTACGTGTCTCGTTTGTTTACTTCTGCGTTTGACTCGGCGATAACTTTCTTTCCAACAGAGATGCGATAATGAAGGAGGACCCAGACAAACCCAGGAGGATGAGGAGCAAGAACCAGGAGGGTGAAGAGGAGTCTCCTGTCTCTCCGGTCACTGATGTGAGTCAACTGTATTTTCGGTATCATGATTTTTAACTGCTTCCCCTCTGTATTTCACAGCAAATCTCAGTTCCAGAAGAATGTTTAACGTTCGTTTCTGACTCTCTGGAGCTTCAGTCAGGTTTTATAAGACAACCATATTGTTTAAAAATGAGGGCTTTGCTTTTATTAAAATGTACAGGCTCTTACGCATACTGCTCCATTACCAGTTCCATATAAGATTAAACCATATTCTATTTATGTGTAAATTAATCTACTCAATAAAATGTACAATACATTTTCAAATGTCTGGGTTGATTTTGAACAAAACTAATACAACTACCTTAATAAATACTTTTATTAGCATTTAAAGCAAATGCTAATAAAAGTAGTTCACTTGACTCGTATAAAACTGTAATATTGCTATTGTTAATACTTTTAAAAACTGTTAAACTACAATAAATTCACTTTGTCCCAATCAGGCTTCTAAATCTCCCCTCTTTCTTCTCTCCGTCCAGCCGACGATAAAATACGAGGATCAGCCCGACTTTGTCACGACGACGGGTGGGACGTTGCACCTGTACCAGCTGGAGGGTCTCAACTGGCTCCGGTTTTCCTGGTCTCAGGGCACAGACACCATCCTGGCAGACGAGATGGGCCTCGGCAAGACCATCCAGACCATCGCCTTCCTCTACTCGCTCTTCAAAGAGGTACCGGGGCCCCACGGTCTTATTATTCTCCTCTTTCACCGAAAGACCCGTATGAATTGTTGCTCCTCCTCTGTCCCTCAGGGCCACACTAAAGGCCCGTTCCTGGTCAGCGCTCCGCTCTCCACCATCATCAACTGGGAGAGGGAGTTCGAGATGTGGGCGCCCGACTTCTACGTGGTGACGTACTCGGGGGACAAGGACAGCCGAGCCACCATCAGAGAGAACGAGTTCTCCTTCGACGAAACGGCCATCAAAGGAGGGAAGAAGCCCTTCAAACTGAGGGTGAGGAGGGAGGGCATTAACCATCATAATATGAAAAAAACAAATGATGAAATAATCTTAACATAATATATAACATCCTGTCCTCCTTCCTCTTCTGTTTCCCCTCTTGTCGTCCTGCAGAGAGAGGCTTCCATCAAGTTCCACGTGCTGCTGACCTCCTACGAGTTGGTGACCATCGACCAGACGGCGCTCAAGTCCATCGACTGGGCCTGTCTGGTGGTGGACGAGGCTCACCGCCTCAAGAACAACCAGTCCAAGGTACTGTAGCCATGTGTGCATGTTAATATCAGTCCTATTATAGCCTTTATTATAAGAACCCTTAAATATGGGTTTTTAAGAATTGTGTGAAGTGTCACGGTTGAAAGAAATAACTTGTCAGCGCTCTCTGGTGGACAAACTATGTAATGGCAACACTTTCTAAATTAACTACGGAATCTTAAACATATTTTGGGCATTTTTCTACTGCAAGTTATTGTTACTTAAATTGAATTTACTTTATTATGCTCCATATAAATCAGTAGTAGACCTGTAGTAGTAGAATGACAATAAATAAATAAACAAATACTTTATAGTTATGTTTTGTTTTGTTTGTTAGACGTAGTGCTGCCTTTACATCCAATGAGGAAAATAATAATATTGTCAAACATGTATGAAATAATTTCAGATGTTTGACAGGGAGTTTTCATGTCGTTGCAGTTTTTCAGGCGTCTGAACGACTATAAGATCGACCACAAGCTGCTGCTGACTGGAACTCCTCTACAGAACAACCTGGAGGAGCTGTTCCACCTGCTCAACTTCCTCACGCCCAACCGCTTCAAGTAGGACTTCTCATTGATAATTCATTGATGTAGTCAGATACTAATAATTTGAACCAATAAACTCAGTGTTACCAGTATTACCAGTCCTTCACCCAGTCCATCTCTCCGTACAGTAACCTTGAAGGCTTCCTGGAGGAGTTCGCCGACATCTCCAAGGAGGACCAGATCAAGAAGCTCCACGACCTGCTGGGGCCTCACATGCTGCGGAGGCTGAAGGCCGACGTCTTCAAGAACATGCCCTCCAAGACCGAGCTGATTGTCCGAGTGGAGCTGAGCCCCATGCAGAAGTACGACACACGGAACATTTCCCTCCAGCTATGATATTAACCATTTCGCCTATGTTTTTTTAAAGAAGGCACCATGAAGAAATACTAAACATTTAAAATAGCTTTCTACACAACAAATTTAGCCTGAAACATGCCTATTAGAAATGGGTCATATTATTAATTTAATGGACATTACCGAGCCCCACACTGAAAATGGCACAGATACATAAAATGTTAGTTATATATGACAGTACATTGAATATGTTTTTAAATACAGGAAATACTACAAGCTGATTCTGACCAAGAACTTTGAGGCGCTGAACTCGAAAGGTGGAGGAAACCAGGTGTCCCTGCTCAACATCATGATGGACCTGAAGAAGTGCTGCAACCACCCCTACCTCTTCCCCGTCGCCTCCATTGTAAGAACAGACAAACACACACATGCTCTTGTCCTTGACAATAATACAACCATAACGTCATAACGCTTTAGTAGAAATAGAATAGAAGAAAACCAATGACAGTCCTCCTTTATTTGCTAGCGTTTCACTTCTCTTTAAACCATCTGCTTTGATTTACTCCTGAATTTGCAGAACAGGGACACCTTGTGGGGATGTTCAGTAGTGCTTTTTCTAGTCATATGTGTACTTTCAAGATGTAGCGTCTGGTTAAAAATCACAGTTGAGATGTCATTTGTTCCTTGTGGCATGGTATATGTGTGTGCGTGTGTGTGTGTGTGTGTGTGTGTGTGTGTGTAGGAAGCCCAAAAAACCCCAAACGGTGCTTACGAGGGGTCGGCCCTCATTAAGGCCTCTGGGAAACTGACACTGATGCAGAAGATGCTGAGGAAACTGAAAGAGCAGGGGCACCGAGTACTGGTCTTCTCACAGGTACACACTCGCATGGACACTCGTATACAGCACGCTTAAGCCCAGGCAAGCAGAAACACACACACACGCCAGATGGCCACCTCCCTTCACAGATGTTACATTATTCCCATGACACCTCCAGAAGGCTCAGCAGCAGACTGATTGCAGCTGTGCGTGGGTAAAGATCAAAACGCACACACGTGACTGGTCATTCGATTTCCTTTTTTTTTTCTCTGTCCTCCATTTATTAGATGACTAAAATGATGGATTTACTAGAAGATTTCCTGGACCATGAAGGTTACAAGTATGAAAGAATCGATGGAAGCGTCACAGGGGCGCTGAGGCAAGAGGCCATTGATCGCTTCAATGGTGAGATACCCGATGATGTGCACTCACTAGAGGCGCAGTAAGATGTCTCCGGCACAAACTGCACTGCTCAGTGTTCAGTAGTTCCTTAAAACTGACAGAAATAATATGTTCTACTTCACAAGAAAACAGACTGCCGACTGCTGTGCTCACTACAAGCTTCATGTAAACGACAGAACTTCCTGTTTCTTCAAAATAAGAGTCCCCACTTCCGCCTAACACATGTTAATGTCAGGGACAGCTGGCTAAATAAAACGGGACTCTAACCAGGAGGTAGCATAATGCTAATACTGTATCAGTACTGCATAAACTGTTTGCTTTGTTGGTTGATTTTAAACCTCCAAGATGGATTTTTTTGTGTGCGATTGTTAGATTGAAATGCAAGTAGATGGTAGTGCAGATGGAGTCGGGCAAGAGGATCAGAGCTGTGACTCAGTTGCTAGAACTGATGCCAAACTGACATTAGTCAAAGGATGAGAAGCACTGTGTCGCATGCTGAGTCTGACTCGTCCATATCACTAAGCAGATGTTGGCAACAAATGGCATTAAATGATATTGTAAAATCCTCACTATCTACTGAAGTGAAGTCTGTATAACCACCGTAATGATAACCTGTTAGTGGCATCAAAGATTAAAGAGATTAAAGAGAGACGATTAATGAAACTGTCTGTTTGACTCTCTGTGTCTCTGCAGCTCCTGGTGCTTGCCAGTTTTGTTTCCTGCTCTCCACCAGAGCGGGAGGTTTGGGCATCAACTTGGCCACAGCAGACACCGTCGTCATCTTCGACTCGGACTGGAACCCTCACAATGACATACAGGTACGTCGGACTGGCAGCAGCCGAGGAAGGAAACTATTTCATCCGACGTAAACGTCACGTGCCGCCTTGTGTTCCCTTCTCCGCGCAGGCGTTCAGTCGAGCCCACCGAATCGGGCAGGCCAACAAGGTGATGATCTACCGCTTTGTGACGCGAGCCAGTGTGGAGGAGCGCATCACCCAGGTGGCCAAGAGGAAGATGATGCTGACCCACCTGGTGGTCCGGCCAGGCCTGGGATCCAAAGCCGGCTCCATGAGCAAACAGGAACTGGACGACATCCTCAAGTTTGGGACAGAAGAGCTCTTCAAAGATGAACTAGAACGTGAGTTTCTTTTTGTGAAGAGAAATTAGGATTTTCAGTCAAATATTATAATGTGGGAATTTGGAGCTTTACGGTGTAGGTCCAAGTTGCAGTGGGATTGATTCAGTGAAGAGTTGGCAGGCTTCAGACTACAAGAAAACCTTTATTTGTGAAATTTATCTAATAGAACAGGACAAATGATTCCCATTTTTGAACTCCACGTGTGACAGGCATGAAGAACAGTTCGGGGGATAAAGTTGAGGACGAGGGCAGCGTGATCCACTACGACAACGTCGCCATCGATAGGCTGCTGGACCGGAGCCAAGACGCCACAGACGACCCGGACGTGCAGAACATGAACGAGTACCTCAGCTCCTTTAAAGTGGCCCAGTACATGGTCCGAGAGGAGGATAAGGTGAACAGGATGTTACAATTAATATGATAAAAAATGTATATTCGTGCACCTGACAACCTTACCCAAGTCTTATAATAGTCACTCACTATAGAATCTATGTCCTCACACGGATTTCAAAGGGATTATTTGATTTATCAACTGAATGAAAATTACTGAAAGAAATATATTTTGATAATCCATTAACTAATTAACTGGCGTGTACTTTTCTGACGCTTCAGGTCGAGGAGATCGAGCGGGAGATCATCAAGCAGGAGGAGAACGTGGATCCGGATTATTGGGAGAAGCTGTTGCGGCACCACTACGAGCAGCAACAAGAGGACCTGACAAGCAAACTGGGCAAAGGCAAGAGGAACCGCAAGCCGGTCAACTACAACGACGCCGCGCAGGAAGACCAAGGTAGGGACCGGGTTTGGACCCGGTGCTGCATGGACCTGTGAAAAAGCTCAAGTAAGAGGAAGAATCTCCTGCAAGTTGTTTCGTATCAAGCCCTGAATTCAAAAATTGAATCCTAAGAACGAGCATGAAATGATCTATCTTCTGTGTTTGAGTTATTACTTGCACAGTGGAAGTGAATGGGCCCGGCCTATTGACAGACCACCGTGTGCTGTTTCAGAGTGGCATGCTGACATTTCAGATAACCAGTCCGAGTATTCGGTGGGCTCCGAGGAGGAGGACGAGGACTTCGACGATCGGCCAGAAGGTAAGGAGAGACGAAGTTAAAGAGACGTCAAACCCCAAGCAGTGCTGCTCATGAAATATGACAGCTGCCTGTTTGAACACACGCACATACACGCACACACTCAGGTCTGTGTTGAATTATTACAAGTTGAATTTGATTTAGTTGTAACAGTTGCCTGGCATTTTTCCCAAAAAATGCAACACTCCAAACAACCTCCTCCCCCGAACTTCAGATGGAAGGAAATGGTTCAAAGCATTTCAGAAGTTTTAGATTCTTGGTTGACGTACTGACGGAATACTCGCTGTAAATTTCAAGAAAGCTCCACAAAATCCTCCCTCTCCTTCCAGCTCGTGTTACCCTCTGTATGTTTTCACCATCCTGTCTGTTGCCCCCTTGTAACCTGCAGGTCGAAGGCATTCTCGTCGCCAGTTGAGGAACGAGAAGGACAAACCTCTGCCTCCCCTTCTGGCCAGAGTGGGAGGCAACCTTGAGGTTTGCACGACTCTGGAACCAGTTCTGCTTTCATTTTTTCTGTTTTTTATTGCGATGTTACTGGAATCTGTCAGCTTTGTTTTAACTTGACTTACGCTCTTAGATATTTTTCCAACAGTCCAACAATCTCAAATTGGAGATGGCAGCAAAGGCTGTTACATCGCCAACAACTCTGTACCTTCCAAGCTCATTTATCATCCTGATAATATTGGACGTGCTTGTAATGGCCTGCATTTTTCGAGCGAGGATTCAAAGTTTATTTTAACGTTATTAGGCAGTCAAAAAAAAAAAGGCCTCGGGAAGAAATACACGGATGTCTGCAGGCAAATTTAAGTTTTCTCATCCTGACATTTTCATTTGAAGTCTTCCAGAATAAAAACCAATACATTTTAAAAGGCCGACACTATTTACACTGCTCAGGAAAAATATATTGTTAAATATACTGTCATTTTGATAGGTGCTGGGCTTCAACACCCGCCAGCGAAAGGCTTTCCTGAACGCAGTGATGCGCTGGGGGATGCCGACCCAGGACGCATTCTCCTCTCAGTGGCTGGTCAGAGACCTCAGGGGCAAGACCGAGAAAGAGTTCAAGTAAGGAAAGAAAAACACATTGATTGAATTCAGATGTAGTCTTTATCCATTTCTATCTGCCCTCTGACCATATATTCTTCCTCTTCTTCTACATGTTCTTTGCCAGAGCCTACGTGTCTCTCTTTATGCGTCACTTATGCGAGCCGGTGGCTGACGGAGCGGAGACGTTCGCGGACGGCGTGCCGAGGGAGGGCCTGTGTCGCCAGCCCGTCCTCACGCGCATCGGCGTCATGTCCCTCGTCAAGAAGAAGGTCAGACCAAATGCTGTTCGCCTTCCTAAGTCGAGACAAAAGTGGTGAATGGAGCAAGCTATGACACTTAATGTTGTAATCCTTAAGGTTCCAGACCTGGTTGAGTTTGAGACACCTGTTGTTACGGTGGTAACACAGGTACAGTTTAGCAAAACAGCTAAAATAGGCTGTTGCATTTCCTGTGATTGCTTCACAATAAAAACCTAGCCTGCTTTGCTTTAGCAGTAACTTCTGATATGATGTTAAGAGAGTAGAAATCAGCACACATGCATAATTTCCTGTGAATCTCATGTGTATGTCAGCAATTAGAATCCAGTGCAGGAATGGCGGACTCCGCCACTAACGATGAACACTTGTCATATTGAGAGATAATTACTGAATGTAAAAGCTTTGACTAGCTATTGCTGAAACAATGCAGACTATAAATACCAAAAGGCTGACACCAAAAACAGGGTTTGCTTTTAATACATTCAAAGGATTGTAACTTTAATACGGCACCTCCATATCAGCAGGGTGTCTACAGCCCCATATGAAGTTACTAAGATGTCTTTAACTAAAACTGTAAGACAATATAGTCTTCAGGTATTAACGTAACTAAAATGAGAGAGCTTTTTCCAGTGAAGAAATCCACCATTACATCTTGAAAGATGTTACGATTACCTTGCTGCTTTCAGTTTGCCAGACATGACTTTATCCAAATATCTTCAATCCAGTTTTCAGTCCAACATGTTTAAACGTGCTGACATCCTGATCTTCTATCAATGCCGGGGGGAATGTTTGATATACTGCCAGGCGAGCAGGGCATGTGGGTGGTGAGTTTAAATAAGGTGGTATTAGGTAAAGTGAGCATGTGCCAAGCTTTTTTTAATTTCGCTGACTGTTTCTTATTCAGATCCAGGAGTTTGAGCACATCAACGGGCGGTGGAGTCTTCCAGAGCTCAAGCCTGAGCTCATCATAGACAAGTGCTCCTCCAGGGCCTCCTCTCCTGCCGTGAAGACCACCACGCCCACCTCTGAGGCCAGCTATAACAACACACCTTGCACCTCCAAGCCAGGTAACCAAACACACACACACACACATGGTCACATTTACCAGTTCCAGCAGGGGGCGCTCCATGTAAAGGGCAGCAGATAAAGTTGGAGTTGTGTTATGTGTTTGTGTGCAGCGACCCCTGCTCCATCAGACAAGCTGGAAAAGAACGGAAAGGAGGGAGAGAAGGAGGAGGACAAAGAGGAAAGCGAGGCCCAGGCTGACAAAGAGAGAGCGAAGGAGGAGAAGGATGCGGGGAAAGAGGTGGACAGCAACAGGACTGCAGACCCTGAAGAGGTGGGACACTGTCAGCTGACGCATCTACATTCTGTGGTCACAGCGTGGTCCTCATCAGCCAATTAATGCATTGTTTCTTTACACTCTCATATAGATTTCTATTTTTGCATCCTACGTCAGATGCGGCGTATTCTTTAATAAAAGAGCTTTATGCCTCCTTTTAAGTCATATTACAGTGTTGCCAATATTTTGCATGGGTTTTAACACAAATCCCATAGACTTTACATTACTTTCAACAATTTTCCAAAGCGTGCTATCCATTTTTTCTCTGTTATTTTTTTCTTCCTTCCAGTCGACCACCGGTTTCTGTTCAATTTCATACAGCTTGAAAATCAAAACGTCCATTGTTATCGTGTAGCAAAGGGGCGCAGACTTCAAATAATTCATGCTTTCAGTGGAATCACAGCGGCATTTTCATATCATTAAGAAAGCACCACAGTATGCTCTGGAAAATGTTAAGTAAATGAAATGAATAGCAAAAAGGCTACGTCATACACAGTCACTGATGGGGCCTGTTTAATAAACTATAAACCTTATAGTATGCATAATAATGATTCAGTTCAGTTCTGTAAAAGCTGATTTAAAAGCTGACATTTGAAGATTTTACCACACAACGACAAACTCGATGAGTGACTGCATATTGTGCTTCTTTCCATAGCTTTCCTCTTCGACAAAAGACACAGCAGAAAATGTGTCCCCGAGTCAAAGAAACCAAGGCACAGAGGACAGCGACCTGAAAGAGGAGGAGAAGAAAGAAACAAGTGACTCACCGGCCGCCACGACCGAGGAGAAAAGAGTACAGGAGGAGAGTAAAGAGGAGACGAAACAGGAGGTCAAAGAAGAGAAATCAGGTAAAAAAACAAAACGCAGGAAAGAAACTTGATAAGTCAGTCTGACGAAATCTGACATGCACAAACGGATGAAGCAGGTTTGTGTGGAGGGAAAAGTCCTTTCTAATGTAATGTTTGTTTTCCTGCGAAAGGAGAAAAGGCGGGGGAGGGAGAGGAGAAAGACAAAGAAAAGCGGGAAGAGACACCTCCAGCAACTGAAGCGACAGATGCCAATTATAAGACCGAGGTGTCTGACGTGAAGAAAGGTACGCTTTACTGTCCATAATGGTACGCTGCCATGAATACACCAGCACAATATCTTTTCTAAATGATAACTTCGCCGTCTTTCTCGATAACAGAGGGGGTCAAAGGTGAAAAGGATGCTGGGAAAGAAGTCAGAGCGGCCAAAGAGGATGCGCCCAAGGGTTACGTGAGGCCTCCCATTGAGCGACCTCGCTTTATGTTCAACATCGCAGACGGCGGCTTCACCGGTCAGTACCGATTCACTAATACACTAATGCATTTTAAAGATTCTATGTAAGGCACTCAATTGCACTGGACATCATTCATCTCTTCCAACTACTTTAACCGTCTACGTTTACTTCTTCAACATTCATTGAGGGCGTTTTATTTGGTAGTGATCAGCAGGATAACTATTCAAAAAGACCGTTCTCTTGCACAAACCTCTTCAGGAACAGGTTCATCTGAAAGGACAAAAACAGCTGACCCTTTTGGTGCAGATTGTGTCAGTTCTGCAAAGACCTTCCTGAGATCTCAGGATCTTCATCAGGACATCTGAAGAAGATCCCTGACGGTTCAAAGCAATGACGGCTAATAAAGATTCTAGTTGTAAGATCTAAATATTTTAATTGTACTTCAATACAAGAACTGCATCCCGATTCATTAGATGTACACAAAAACTTTATGCATTGTTTAAAACCATAGAATCCCTGAAAAATGTGGAGAGTAAAGGTAAAAGTAACTTACTAACGTGCCCAAACAAGTGACTAAGCAGTCTAAATAGCATAAAACTCACAACTAAAACAAACAAAAAAACATTCCCTGTGCTTTCCAGAGTTTCTGTTTGAAAGCCAAAATGATCTCCACCTTGATGACAAACCCAGAAAAGCTCTTTGTGCCGTGGAAACACCTGCAGTCAGGTTTCAGCGAGCCAAGCCCTCTCTTTGAGACCGGCCTCATGTTTATATTGTGTTGGTTTCGCCCTGCAGAGCTGCACACTCTCTGGCAGAACGAGGAGCGGGCTGCCATCTCTTCGGGGAAGATGAACGAGATCTGGCACCGCCGACACGACTTCTGGCTCCTGGCGGGAATCGTGATGTATCCTTGATGACCCCCGATGTGTTTATTTTGCTATAAGCCGGCAGAAGCCCGACGTAATAAGCCAGCCAGAGCTCGGTAAACGGCAAACTGTGTCTGCTGGAAGCCAATGGAGTGGGTCATTTAGTTCATGTTGTTCCCGCTATTATGGTAATCAAGGCCATGCAGCATTCACATAAAACATTGTTTTCATTATTCCGTGAGCTAATCATGAGAGCCGTGGTTAGACTGAAATAAAAGGAGGGACATGCTTTGTTTCAGAACCTGCCTGAAGCCTTTTTTTTTGGGCTAAAATAACTGCAATTTTGTATTTTAAGAAGATATAAAATCGAGTTAATCACTCCTCAAAAATCAATGTCCAGCTTTCAGGAATAGCTCCCAAAAACAAGCTCAACTTTGGCTCAACATTTGCTTTCTTTCTCAGGGTCAGATTGATACCGCTCTCATGTCTGTTGCTTCACTTGGCATAAAAACTGGAGGCAGTGGCAAACCGCGAGCCTGGCTGGTTCATAATAGTCAAAAGTCGTTTTATATATTTCTGTTTGTGAACGCATTAAGCAAATGACTTCTCATTAATGATCTTTAGTATGAAGCTGGAGTCTAGTTAGTCTGTACAAAAACAGAAATTTAAACTCTACAGTTTGTGGTTTAAGGGCATTATAATTGCATAATTGGCATATTTTTTTTAAACTTTGGACAGAGCCAAGTTAGCTGTTTCCCCTTGTTTCTTATGCCAATCGTCTCCTGGCTACAGCTCTGTAGTCATTAGAGCTGTGCCGATCTTCTCATCTAACTCTCGGTAAGAGAGCAAGTACACTTATTTTACAACTCCTTTTAATTCTGGTGTGCTTTGTAACTTTTACATTGCAAAAATAGTTTTGGAAAACCTTCCCTGTTTAGCTTCCCTGCTTCCCGCTGTCTCTTGCCCAAAAGTGTTACGTGACCCTTGACCCCCCCTGTGCCAGTCACGGCTACGCCCGGTGGCAGGACATCCAGAACGACCCCCAGTTCGCCATCGTCAACGAGCCTTTCAAATCGCAGGCGAATAAAGGCAACTTCCTGGAGATGAAGAACAAGTTCCTGGCTCGACGCTTCAAGGTAAGACAAGATAATAGCTTCACCTTGACTGTGGATACACACTAGACGAGGCAAGGCAGGGCAAGTTCACTTGTATAGCACATTTCAGCAACAAGGCAATTCACAGTGCTTTACATTAAACATCAAAAGCAAAGGAAACGCACCAAAAAAGCACATTCAAATACAATTTAAAAACAGTCATTAAAGAGCCAAGAGAGTGGAACATTAAGATAAGCTGAATAAAATAATAAAGTAACAGTGCAGTGTAAGAAATTTACGATTATTTGATTTAATAAAAGGCAGCTGCTGAAAGAAAAGTATTCAGCCTTGATTATAAAATAAGTTAGTTTTGGTGGAAACCATTCAGTGCTTCATAAATCAACAGTAGTATTTTTAAGTAACTTAATTGGCAGACAAAGCCGATGAAAAGACCTCAGAACTGGTGTGATGTGATCCAGTGTTCTGAATCAGCTGCAGCTGTCTAATACATTTATTTTTTTTAGTGCGACCTATAAAAACTTGGTGTTATCATGGGCTGTGTCTGAAATCACTTCCTACTCACCATATAGCAAAATATCCCACAATGCATCGTTAAAAGTAGTGTACAACCTCTACATAGGAGTCCCTGGATAGGGAGTAGCTAGTAGTGAATGAGTGAAGGATCTCAGACACAGCCACGGACTCAGACCTGAATTTCAACAGCCGCATTAAGAGGATTACAACGTCAGCCTACTATCGCTTTAAGAATATATCGAGGATTAAAGCACTTATGTCTCAGCCGGATTTGGAAAAAGTGGTCCGTGCATTTATCTCCAGCAGACTCTCGACTGCTGTAACGGCGTTTTCTGGCTTGGTCTGTGGTTTTTAACATTGCTGATTGAAGATTTAAACATTCCACATTGGCTCCAAAAACAACTTCTTCAGTTTTGTCTTTGTTTAATTAAAGAAAACATCCAGTTGTTGATTTGTTCAATGCACTTACTCAGTGCTTGTATTGGACCACAGTCCCCTGGTTATACGGTTATGTAAACGTGTGTGTCGTCTGCATAATTATGGTAACTTATTTTGTTGTTTTCCATAATCTGAACCAGTGGAAGCATGTAGATGTTAAACAGAAGAGGCCCCAGAATGGAGCCTTGGGGAACTCCACTCAGATGTGTCGTTACCTATAGACACTAAGTAGTCCCTGTTCTTCAAGAATGCTTCGAACCAGCTTAGTTACTGTTTCAGGAGGTCCTGCCCAGTTTTCCAGTCAGTCTAGTAATGTTGTGGTTGACCGAGTCAAATGCAGCCCTGAGGTCCAGTAATACTAAGGCTGAAATTCTACCATTGTTTGTGTTGAAGTGTTTGTTACTGAGGACCTTTAACAAGAGCAGGCTCAGTGCTGTGGTGCGGTCGAAACCCTGACTGGAAGACATCAAAACAGTTCTTAAGTGCCAAGAAGTTGTTGAAAAACAGCATTTTCAAAAAGCGGGTGGTTTCATATGGCCCTTTAATTATTCATTAATGTTGTGTCGAGATTTTTTTTTTTTTAAAGTGGCTTGATGGTTGCCGTTTTCAGGGCCTGTGGGAAGACACCTGAAAGAAGAGACATGTTTGCAATTTGTAGAAGATCTGAGGCCAGGCAATTTAAAACATTTTTGAAAAAGCCCGTTGGCAGAATATCAAGGCAGCAAGACAAGGATTTCAGATGTTGCATAATGTCCTCCAGGTTTTTATGGTTGACCGGATAAAGTCTTGTCGTGGTATTTTAATTGACTTTAAGTGGACACAGGGAAAACACATATCCTGTACTGGATATGGAGGCACTGGCTGCCTGTCTGAATTTCTGAATTTCCATAATGGGCCCCTATGTCAGCCCTACTCTCATGCAAACAAACTCTTTTAGGAACATTTCGCAGTGTCTTTCGGTCACCTGACTCGTTTGATGGTCGGATGACAGATGCCCCTAGACCCACATATTGGCTCGGCGGTACTGCTGACCGCTGCATTTCTGGAAGAGCTCTCATCCTGTTTTTAAGCAGCTCACATGTTTCAGATCCTGCCCTCAACATCCTCATTTACTGTATCTCTGTCTCTTTTACTGTTCTCCTTATCTCTCTTGCTAAGTTATTGGAGGTTTCTTTTATTTTTGGAAATCTGCCATCAAGACAGCACAACATAAAACTTTCTCACTGTAATTTCCTCTTTGAACTGGTTATGTAAGAAACTTTAACAAATCATTTTTTTTACCAAACACACTCCCACGACTGTATGAAGCTTGATATATTGTTGAAAAATATCCGAAAGAGACGGAATATAATAAGAGCAGGGTGCAAACGGATTAAAGAATTAGACTCATAACGGCTTTTAAAGCTTTTCTAAAAATCGTTTCTGTGTTTAAATGTGAAGGAAGGAATACACATTAGTCTTTCAGTTTTCCTTTTATTAGGAATGTGGGTGGGTTCCATCTAAAATGTGTTTATTTACATACATTTTTTCACATTAGGTGAATTTAGTTTCTTCATTGGACGTATGGCTAGATTGATGCACCGATTCATTAAATGTCAAGCACAGTGTGCAAGAATCTACAAGATTCTTCTGTGACGTACCATGTATAAGAAATTATAGATGTACAAGTCTGCTGTAACTGTTGTAGAGTTTTAGATATTGTACATATTTTATAAGTCACAACAGTAAATACTACTTCTTAAATTCGCCCTATTTGCCAAAGTAAAACACTGATACAGACTTTTAACTGCTCTCAGAAATAACTTGCCACTAATTCTAAGCAGGTTTAAGTACATCGTGTCTCCACACTGGAAGAATGACAGTGGTATCCCACAGTGCAATGCACAACAGAGACCAAGCTCCTCACAGCTGTAAAACGTTAAACAAATTGTCAAAATTGAGACAAGTGAGGATGATCTCGGAAATAAATCAGGAATAAATTCTTTGGTAAACCATTTTGTTTTCTGTCTCTTTACAATATAATAGTGTAAAACAATAGAGATAGAAGGTGGAGTCGTAGCTTATATATCAAAATATTAACAGAAAAAAGAGAAACAACAAGAAAACATTTTCTTTGTACAATGTAACGCCATGTTGAGTATTCATTATATGCCTGAAAGTCTTGAAGGAAAATATGAAACAAAGGTTTTCTTTTAGTAAATCAGCATTTGTGGATGAAAAATTCACCCTTAAGGTCGTTAATACATCTCGAACAGACACAATACAAGCTAGAAAGATAATAAAATGCACTTATATGGTTGGATGAGATACATACAATCTGACCAAACAATGAAAATGCAGTACAACAAAGAAAGACTGATACTGCTTCATTTCTACAAACGGAACAATTGACTGAGTGAGTATTTGCCGTCTCGTCCTCCAGCTGCTGGAGCAGGCGCTGGTGATCGAGGAGCAGTTGCGACGGGCTGCCTACCTGAACATGACGCAGGACCCCAGCCACCCGGCCATGGCGCTCAACGCGCGCTTCACGGAGGTGGAGTGCCTCGCGGAGTCCCACCAGCACCTCAGCAAGGAGTCGCTGGCGGGCAACAAGCCAGCCAACGCTGTGCTGCACAAAGGTCAGGGAATGATGGCGTGATGCCAATCATTTGGGTTAAAAAGAGCTCTCTCTCTCTTTTTAAAAACAAACACATTTAGACAAAGTGGGGAAAGATTGGCAAACAGATAATCGCAGGCGTGGAATAAACGAGAGATACACATCAACACATCTTACAGCGCTGTTGTGCAATCAGTCTCCCTTCCTGCAGAGACAATATCGCTCTGCCTGGAGCTGACTTCAGTGAAGCCAAGCAGATAAGCTTACACGCTGTGAAGTGATAGCCCCAAACATTTCCTCACTGGCAAGTCTGTCCGTGTTTATATTGTTCTGTGGAAAGGATAACACGCTCGGCGCACAACTGTTGTAGTTTCTGTCTTTTTGCACGTAACGGTGCTGAACTTAGTGAGCGCTCACAGACATATTTATCATATCGCAAAGCGACTCTGCTGGTCTCTAATCAGTGATTAATTCCATGTCGGGATGTGGTGACAGAGTGAAACCTCTTGTTAAAATAGAAGGAGAAATGTGCTATTTTGGAAATAGAAATCCAAAAAACTCTGTAAAGAGGAGACTTTTAAAAATACAATTTATAGTGTTCAGACCCTGTAAGTGATGATATAACTAATATGATTAATAGGAGGTTTAAAAGAAGCCGTTGTCGTCGTTGCAGTGTTGAACCAGCTGGAGGAGCTGCTGAGTGACATGAAGGCCGACGTGACCCGGCTACCGGCCACGCTGGCCCGAGTCCCGCCCATCGCCGCCCGCCTGCAAATGTCCGAGAGGAGCATCCTCAGCCGCCTGGCCAGCAAGGGCACGGAGACGCACACCCCCCCGGTCAGAAGCCTGCTTTTCAACACACACACACACACCCTTAAAACACTCACAACCTCACTGACAAGATGAAACCTGCTCGAGCTGCCTGCACTCGGTGGAAAAATAATAGATGGAGGACGGCCAATGAAATGGCAGAGCCCATTATCTTGTCACCCACATGTGGATTTTCCACAACTGCTTAGTCGGCAGATTTTTTTTTGTCCACTTGCGTAACTTAAAAGTGATTTATCTTACTTATCTCGTTTGTCATATCCCCTAATTTCATAAATCATATCCGACATGCACAAAAAAAACAACCCCACTTCTCTTCCTCTGTGCAGCCCATACCTCCAGGACCCTACGCCATCCCTCACAACTACGGACCCCCCTTCACCCCCGCACCCCCGAGTGCCCTACTCATGGGAGGCGCCAACTACAGCCACATGACGCCCGGATCCTTCATATCAGGTCAGTGTTTGAAGCTCCATTCACACCCTTTGCTCCTGTCAATGACGGCTTGGTCGGGAGTCGGATCTATCACTATAAATGGAATATGTGCAGATAAGAGAGGATGTCAAGGTTTCCAAATATACGACAGAATTACAGGTACAATATGTTTTAAGTGATGCCCTAGAAACATGGGTAAAGGTTCAGCATTTTAAGTTTTTGAGATCTCAGTCGATCTGCGGAAAACATGTTTGATCTTACTTTGGAACTGCTTAAGGGGTCAGTGAAGAGTTCGTGTGTGTGTGTGTGTGTGTGTGTGTGTGTGTGTGTGTGTGTGTGTG